AGAAGTACCCTGATCTTTATGGCTAAGAGATAAAAACATCAAAGTTAAAATATGGTCCCACCCCTCAAGACTTTTTGACATCTTACAGGCTGACGTTTTCGTTTCTCATGGTGCTTCTTCAACATCATCTTTAAATCACTTTCCCCAAGTTCTATCTTGTCTGCAATGAAAATAATTATTTGCAGAGTTTTCCTCTACTGTTACCTTCCACACTTCTTAGAATGCCATTTTCTATCCATTTACACTTCCAGCAATCTCCAAATTTCAGTAACTAATTTCTCCATATATGCATTTCCTTCATTCATTCATCCATTCATTTCAGTGCTTCATTCAGTCATCAGACTTCACTGCTGATGCAAGCATGGAAAAGAAGCCAGAACCAGCTTAAAGAGTTTGCAGAATTGATTACAGTCACTATAGGAGGAATTCTTAAGTATTTTGAACTGGACTATGCTAATGTTTCAACCACTAAAGGCAAAATATAACAGAGGAATCAGTAATATTACAGAAACTATGACTCTTGTGCTCAAATACTAGCCTTTCAAGAAGAAAAAAATTAAACTCGGAAAACAGCAAACTATTTTGGAGACTGTAAAAATGAAGCATCACATGATTTCCCATCAAACAACAGATTTTAAAGGTGATTTCTTGCAAGATTTTGAGGTAGTTCTCCCTCCTCTATCCATACTGACCTTCTGATTGGTTCTTACCTGCAGTTTTCATGTCCAAGGTTGACAACGTGGGGATCACTCTCAGGGGAACTGGTGGACTTGAACAACGTGCTGGAGAAGTTGGAGGCCAAGAGATTAGATCTGAAACAGAGGTATAAATTCACTTCTGCAAGACCCATCACCAATTTATTGCCATGTGTTCATTAGATCCCAGCCAGTGGAAGTAGAGCCCAGAATCAAAAATGTGTCTTTTTCCATCCACACCTGAAGTCTTCAGTTCAGCCCAGGGCATTACCTTCTTCATCAGAAGACAAGGTAGTGTCTCCACACTCCTCTTTCACTTCCCTCAGGATCTTCAAGTAGCGCCGATGTGTCCGTCTGTCTCGTTCTTCCGAGTCATATGTTGGTGGGAAATGCTTTCTCCTTAGGGTCATGTCAGGGCCTCCTTTCCTGGCTAATTCCAGCAAGTGCTGAAAGGAGAGATTCATGGGACATTAGCTAAGTCAGCTGCATTGCTGTAAGCCAGGACAGGTAAACCCAGCTCAGATAACTTCCAGCAAGATTACCATGCGGTTCCATCAGCACCTCAGATCTGTACAAGGAGAACCTTAGGAAGGATCAATATCTGCCACACACAGGATTTCAAACCTAGCATTTTAGACCATCATTTAAATGAGAGAAAAAAAACTAGGTGAAATTTCTGCACCTTCTTCTGCACACGTAACACTATCTGTCATTTTATGTGAACTGTTGAGAAGAACTTAAATCATTAGTGTGAGGTGTAGTTTCCACACAAATATGTAATGATGTGTCCTTTCAAAAAACCATTTTACCTCTCATGGCTACAGAGGAAATAACTTCCTATGTATACCATATTGTTGCCCAATTAAGTTGTGGATGGCCCATCCCTAAAAGTGTTCAAGGCCAGGAGCAACCTGGTCTAGTGAAAAGTGTCCTTGCCCATGGCAGGGGATTGGAATGAGATGAGCTTTAAGGTTTCTTCCAACCCAAATAATTCTGGGATTCTCTATTTCCCACAACATTGTAGGCCATTTTATAAAGACAGACTTTCTTCTTCATCCCTACATACCAAATGCCTCAATATCTAAGAACAATGAAAGATAAAAGAGCAATAAACACATTTCAGCTGGCAACAATTTGCTCACAGCAGTACCCACAGAGGAAGACTTTACCAGGGATTTAAGAAATGAGAATCAGAGGTTTAGATCCACATATTTTCTAACTGTATTTAGCAACCGTACTTGCTTCAGAAATGGTAAACAAAGGCAGAATGACTCGTTAAGAAAATAAGTTGTAAAGGTGCAAATGCAGGAAGTGGGAACAAGGTGGGAAGGAGACAGGTCACACAAGTGAAAGCTATGAGAGTTACACAACCTGAAATCTGCAAATATAGCAATGGGTCTGGAGCTCTCTCTGACCCACTGGAAAATTCAGAAGCATTACTCATTCAGTTCATTAAAGGAAAGGCCTGAGAGAACTGTGACTGCGCCAAGACACATTTAAGAAAAACAAGTTATTCATCCCAGAGCACACTCACATTGCGGGAAGCGAGGATCTGCTTGAGCAACCTATAGAAGTACTGCTGCTGGGCACTCAGGTAGCGCTTGTACTGCGACTTGTAACAGAGCTGCCGGTACTTCACCACCTCAGGATTGAAGTGTCCATCTGTAACAAAGACAAAACACACACCTGGGTTTTCAACTGCTAGCTGAGAACTTGCCCCAAACTCGCAGGGAAGCTCACGAGGCTGACTGACCCCGGAAGAGTTTCTGGGCGATGTGCAGCGGGTTCCCAAAGCGAAAGTTCACCCCACTGAACAGCGCTGAGATGACCTTGTTCTGATGCTCTCGGTTGTTCTCAGGGAAGTGAGGCAGGAATTTTTTTAGGTGCTCTTGCTGCTCATCTGTCAGGACCTCCTGCCACGTTGACAAGCTGACAACCTCAAAAAAGATCTCGGGCTAAAGAAAGCAAGCAACAGCAGTAAAGAAAATGCAGCCACATCCTTGACCATTTTCTAGCCCTTGAGGCTTTTTAAGTAACACCAGTCATGAGACAGTGTTTTATAAAACACAGGAAACAAGAGAGCACAAAAAGGAAAGGTCAAGAAATTGATAGTACTAACAAGAAAACAAATTCAAAGCTTGCCACAATCTTCTTAAAGGCAATTTTAAAATACTAAGAACATAACAGAATTGATTTAAAAGATACTGTCCTGAGATTAATCAAACACTTGACACTTTTCCCAAGGCAGTCAAAAACACCTCCCCTTTCCAGTTTGCTCCATAAGCCCCGAAAAGGGAGTTAAACATGTTATTTACATAGAAGTTATGATAAGGTGAAATGTCTCAGCACTACTCACATCCTCCAGGAGGTCCTCGGGCAGACTGACCCGGGTGGTGCCCAGCATGCAGTCCTCCATGATCCTTGTGCAATTGCCCTCCAGCTCCAGGGGGTCTGTGAGCATGTGATCCAGGGAATCCATCCTCCAGCCTTCCTGCTCCTGGACAACGACAGCAAAACCCTCAAAAAACAAAAATCCCAAACCCAGATACATCAGATACATCCATCCTGATGAGAGGAGTGACAGAAGACCCACCTTTGATGGGTGGTTGTTTAAATGGAAGCTATGGAGCTGGCCTGCAATATCTGTATATATATGTGTGTGTGTATATATATATATACACACACATACATACATATATACATATGTATGTGTGTATGTATGTATATACACACATACATAGATATATATATCAAACCCATACATACACACACATTTATATATATAAAACACACATAGAGAAGCATTTACTCTTCAATTACAACACAGGTCATGCCAATGGTGCTTTTCCACACAGGTACATTGGGAAGTACAGCTGACCCATCACACTTTCCTTCCCACCTGCAGGAACTGTTTTCAACACTGCTAAACACCAGGACAAACTACATTTAAATCCTGAAGGCGGTTTTAAAGTGCAGAACCGAAGGTCAGGTCTAAGGTGGGGTTTGCCTCAGGTTGAAGGTGTGACAGGGCCAGGAGCCCCGGCCGCTGCGGCGCGACACAGCCGGACCGCTCTGAGCTGCGAAGAAACGAATAAAACACGCGACATAAAGAAAAGGGCAATAAAACTCCGCAATAAACCGGGTAGGATAGGGAAGAAAATAGAAAAACAGGTTTATTCCATACCCCTCACGCGGCCCGGCCGAAGGCGGAAGGCGGCGGCGCTGCCGCGCCTGCGCGAACGCCCCAGGCCGCTGAACTGCGCCTGCGCGCGGCCCCGGAGCCGCGACAGGCCGGAACAGCGCAGTGGGCTGCCAGGGGACAAGGCCGGAACTGCCCTGAAAACACCGTACTTGTGGAATGCTGAAGCCACCTATCAGTCGCAGATTTATACGGCTTGAGTGCAGTCCTGTGCAGTGAATTAGTCATTGAGATTCTGTGCTAATATTACAATGAAGTGTTGAAAGGCTGAATATTTTGAATTTTAATGCAAATTTTCATACAGCAAACGGAGGTTCTTCCTGTCTCTCCACGCCTTTACCCATTGCCAGCCCCCTCCAAGGACGCACATTTAACAGTTTCCACAATAACACTCATTTAATAAAATCTTGACGGGTTAAGGTTCAGGATTGCAGGTGACAGTAAAGCAATGTACTCTAATCTGTGACACAACCTGGCACACAATAAATCACAAGAGTGCAGGTCTTACCCAACGACTGAGACACAGATTCAGTGCAGAAGTTACGATGGACCCTCCCCAAACTTCTCCCTCTTTTTAACTTGTTCTTATACTTTCTTTACATTTAGGTGCAGCTTCAGTAATTCGAGTCACATATCTTAGTGATGGTCATACCTTGGGAGTGGATATGTCAGGACAGTACCTGAAATAACCCTGGCATGGGGACATGAGTTACTCCTAGAGGGATTTTGCCATGGTTTGCTGATTCAACAGACATCATCCTTAGCTCCCTCAGTTTTCAGATGCTGTGCAGCTGATCAGCTAGAAAGAACTTTTAAACTTTACCTTTTAAATTTAAAAATAGTTTTTAAAATTCCTTACTTGGCAAGGGTTTAAGCAGCGACACAGGGGCTTCACTCCACTCTCCCCCTACCCTCCCTTGGACTGTGTTGTGGGAGGTCAGAAATTCTGTGATCCATCCAGAGAGTAGCAAATGTATTTTTCCCTGTAACCTCCATACACTGTTATCATCCTATGTATCCACACCCCACTTCACTCATCCTTCACTGAACACCTTAGCCCAATGAACAGATTGGTCATCGCAAGTGATTAAAAAAAAAAAAAAAAAAAAAGAGAAACAGATTTATTATTTTCAGGTTGGTTTGGTTTGTTGTTTTTTTGTTTTTTGTTTTTTTTTACACCTGCCAGGTTGCACAAGACTCTGAACACAACAGTCACCAAATGTACAATAAACATACACAGTTAAATAATAGATGGGGCCTGAGCAGTCCAAGACGTGCAAGATCAGGGTGCGCAGGCTGGGGTTGTTTTCTTTTTCCTCCAGGAAAATACAGAATCTGACCCAGAACGCCTCCAAGGGACAGCATCTCCAAACAAAACACAGACCTTCCAGGCAACTAAGAGGACTCTGGATTTACACTTCTGTGGGATACAACTTAGAGAGATCTTTGGGTTGCTCTGGTTTACAAACAATAATAATACATCCTATATCTTCTGCGCTGCAGAAATGGAGAAAAAAATTCCCTGCAACCTTTGCCATCTGTGCAATCACTGTAGTTCCTTATTTTGGGAGGAAAATCTGTGGTACTTCCATTTCCAGGCATGCTTCTTTCACAGGCAATTCATTCAACTTGTGACACTAGCAATTACTTCACCTGGAATCAGGCCAATAGCCCGAGGGTGCTGCTGCAGGGCAGAGAAACTTTGATGAGGGAGATCTGAGTTCAAAAAGGTTGTTTTAAAATGGTTTTCTGTTTGAAATAGTTTTCAGTTTTAAATAACTGGTACAACTGTCCTCATTTATGGACTGTTCCAACAAAGCTGAATAGAGCAAAGTAGTTTTTAAACCCCACATCTGCAGTATCAATAATGGGAACATATTTGATGTTCATCTATTGTCAAACTTTTAAGACTCTCAAAATTGCTCCTGCAATCCTCCAGTATTCCAGCATTCCCAGTCTCCCATTTCCAAGTCTGCTATTTTCCTACTACTTGTAGCATTTCTGGCTTGTTATTAAATTAGCAGCAGCCTGAAAAAAGCCAAGACAAAATTCTCCCTACTCTCTTCCCACGCAAACAACATTGCAAGGCCCAAAACTGCAATTCCAAAATCCTCAGCAACATGAATTCAAGTTACTGGGCATTGTGATTGTTTCTCCACACTGCCACAGTGGCTGGGCTGCCAAATCTACAGAATTTAAGGTCAGTCATCACTGCACTTGACCAAATGAGAGCTCTGGTCCACATTAATTCTACCCAGCTCATTAGTGCCCCAGTATGGTGGTACAGCAAGAGAAGAGAAATCCCAGGAACAAAAGTAATCCACATTTTGGCAAGTCACTTCAGCGTTACCTCAGAACACTTCCCAGCTGGCCAGCATTGGCCAACTGATTTATCTCAGTACTATTTCCATGCCACATTAACAGATACGTTAGTTACCGAAGCCATACCTGCTACAAGGCTTTGCTCACAAGGAAGCAGATTTGCTTTTCTGCAGCTTAAGTGTGGAGTTCCCTCATGTCAAAGAGCTTTAACTCCATAAAACCTGATACCACAACATGTAGTGCTTACTGACATGGGTAATCCATACCCGAATCCATGGGAATAGCTATGGAAGAGTCCCCCACATTCACACTCGGTGCAGTACAAGAGAAAACAAATCAAAAAAATTTAAGTTCTTCTGTCTCAAGGACCTCTATGACACAGCACCCTTCTCTGTGTTTGTTTTATAAATAAATGTATCCTGATATGCACAGATGTTCTGGGATGAGTTTTCCAGCAATGAATGGAAATTCAGACATACACAGTATATCCCATCAGGAGTCAATGGAGTTCTAGTCATGTTTTTGCAACCACCAGAATGCCTTAAACAACCAAGACAACCTGTGAAGGAGAACTACGTAAGGAAAAACATTACATGGCCTTAAAATATAAACCTTCTCTTTCCCTTTCTCCTGGTCCCTAAATGCAACATGAATTCTGTACATAGACCAGCTCCATCACATCTGGCAACCCTCATGGATGGGCTTTCCATGTCCCATAAATAGTGGTCCACTAGCACATTTCTTTTATGTTTCCTGAGTCCAGAGCTGGTTGTTTTCTGGAACTGTCCAAGGGAATTACAGTACATTGTTAACAGGTTATTTGGAAAAAAATAATCAAAGAAACCAACTCTCCATCCAGTCTTGAAAAGGAAAAGTATGTTTGCTTAGAGGTGACCACACAGATAATGACCCTGTCCCTTCAGAGGAGTGCTCTGTATCCTCATTTTCTCCTGCACAACTATCTTAGATCACAGCAGAAGTTGCTCTGTCAGTTTAGTTGAGCTGTTGGTTTTTTTTGTTTACAGGCAAAAAAGCAATTTTCCCTGCAAACACTGGAGGGAAAAGAAGCAACAGTGGCTCTGTACTACACTTAGGTGCTCCTAGGACTTCAATCAGTTTGTTCCAAACAACATGGGCTTAAGACTGTGCTTTTCCTGCTTTCTGAAACAGGGCAGGGCAGGCAGCATGTAAACTGTTCTGGAGGGCTGGAAAAATAATAATTTAATGGACTGCTTCGGCACATCTTCACAGCTTCATTGTTCAATCCATCCCCATAAGGGGACACCACGAACCACCACTTGGCTGCTGCTGCTCCTTTCTGCAGGCAGTCTGCTCATATCATCCCTTCACCTTGGCTGCTAGAAGCCACAGGAAACAGTTCTGCCATATTCTAACAACTTACATGATGTTCTCCTGCTTAATGGCTCCTGTTAAAAATATACATATGACAATCTGCCAGGAAGCCTTCAATTAGGCAGGCTTTTTCCCATACAGCTGAAATAATATTGTTTGCTGGACACACTTCCAAAAAGGAAAAATAAGGGTCAGCAGACATGCTAAAAATAAAGTCCGGGGCCAGCAGAGGTTTCACTTCTCTTGTCCTTTTTCTTAAAAGCTGCATAAAAAGCATCCCAGAAGGATTTTGAGGGTATTTCATGGTCACTGTGAATTAAACCCTCTTAAAGCATTAACAAGAGCTCCGAGATTTTAGTGGAAGGTAAGTGAGCATATACATTAAAACATATAGAGCCCCAGGGTACCCCCACATCTGGGCTGTCAGGGAGGTGACAAGGACAAGCAAATGGCTCTTTCACTCATGCTCTGCTGAGAAAGTCCTGGGTTTGGAGATGTGCACTTCACTCCCGCCACTCCCGTTGGTGGTGGTCGTGATGATGTACTGGGTGGTTTGCTGCTGGTTGCTTGTCTGGGATTCCAAGGGATCTGTGTGGGCTGTGGGCTGGGAAACCTCATTGGAGAGTGAAGAGTTTTGTTTACCATCCAGATCAGGCTGACCTTCAGATATCACGTAGTGAGTCTGCATGGGGAATATAGAAAATAATTAATAAACACTGTATCTTTTGTAACTTCTTTAACAGTCTGCTGCCAGACATTTTGGTTGAACAAGGAGCTTTTAAATAAGCTCTATTTCATTTAAATGTATTTGAGAGCAACATAATGCCTGTCTTTTGATTCAAAGAACATTGGACCTACTTGGCTTTTGGTTAATTTACAAATGGTTAAACTCATTACACAATTAGACCATCACAACAGACTAAAACAGCAATTTTCAATTGCACTATTCTGAAAAGTTTTTTACTGTATTCCATATGTTCTAGCAAAAGTTCCACTCCAAGTGACCAAGATCAACACAAGCCAATGACCTGTCTTCTTATGCTGGATTGCTTACAAGGAATAGCAGGAACTTTTCTTATTTTCTAATCTTATAGATAACAGAAAGCTACTGAAATGTTTCCAGAAGCTGTTCTGAAATTTGGTTTAATGGATACAGCTCAATCATAAATATTTTTATGACTAAGCAGTACCACTGAATAATTTTGTTCTGCAAATGTGATTAAGTGAAGATTTTAAATTGAAAGGAGTCATACATACAAGAGCCAGACAGCATGAGCTTTGTAAATGGTTACAATGCAAACTATACTGTGCAGTCTGTACCTCTTTAGGTACCTCCACTCTTTGCCCCAATCATGACTTTGGCATTCTTTAAACCTTTAAGCTGAAGAGCTGTATACCTGATAACACTCTGAATGTGTTAGGCCATGATGGTTTTCCTTACCTGAGTAACTGCTTTTACTTGCCCTGTGTTGACAGTAGTGACCGGGGTACCCACAGCAGTCTCTGTGATCACGTACTGCCCTTGGGGGATGGCCATCATCTGAATCTCTGATGCTAAAAAGTTGCAAATTGGATAATCAAGACCTTCAGTCAAACTCAAAGACAACCTTCAAAGATCATGTCTTATATCAGAAAGATTTAAAGCCTGAAACAGTGGGTATTGAGTAGAATTCAGGTGAGATAAGGCCTTGTAGAACTCTACAGGCCTCAGCAGAATTATGCCAGTTAACACCAGATAGATATTTGGAAATTCATGCAGAAAAACACATCCTGTTCTCACTCAAATCATCACAGAATTACCAGCCAGAACAACATGGGCATGAGAAATCATGTCACGCTCCTTTTCCACACATTTCTTTCAAGCATGCATCCAAATTTGAACAAGTAGGTATCCAACACATTGATTCTTGCTGTATGCAAGTTCCTTGGAATAAAGGAGCCCAGAGTGCCTGCCCAAACTATGTACTGGATCAGTATGGATGATAGTGGAAGAGCTGGTATAACCATTTACATTTATCTGAAGCTTTATCTTCTTGATATCTATGAATATTAATCGCAAAGCTGAATGAACTCTGAAAACACTGTCCCATTTGGTAGCTGGAGACATGGGGCACTTGTTAGAGACACACTTGCCAGACAAGTAGTTAGAGCTACTGCTGACACTTACAGTAGCTCCGAAATGAGTTCCAGTTGCTGGGGAGATATGTGTGCTGGACTGAGGAGCCTTGCTGCTGCTGGAGGGCTTGGTTTGGTGTCGATGTAGTTGTCTGCATCTGTGAGGGGCTGAGCTCCTGCTGAGGTTGTTGCGAGGAGGGACTCAAAGGCTGACCCCCAGCCTACAGGAAAAAAAAAGTGCAAGTGTTCTTGGTGTAGTAAGGATTGCACAGCTCTATGCTGTCACAAACACAGCCTTCTCATTTAGGGAAAACACAGGCTGAGTTCCAGAGCATATCAAGCACAAGAACTAAACTCTCCTCCAACTTGCTTCATTCTAGGTAAATAAGCTCAGACCAGGAAACTAAAATAGTGATATTGTTGCTTGTCAAAGAGAGTCTATGGCAAAGACCTGAGATTAGAGGCTAAATTCTACCCAAGAGCATGAAGAGTTGCACTTAAAATATTTGAGGAATGCCAGTTTCCATTTACATCTTCCAACTGACAAACCTCATTTAGCTGCAAATATGTCTCTTTCCAATCATTTCTCTCTCCTTTGTACATACTGTTGAAGGGAAAAAACACCCCACACCAAAAAACCCATACAACAAACACCCAAACAAACCCACAACAAAACACCCCCATAAATCTTGAGACATCTGGGCACTGCTTCATCTCAATGTGAGAGTAATTTCATGTGTGGTCCTTTAAATGACAAAAAAAACCACTATCCCCTGCATCAGCACATGCAATATGCAGCTGAGCAGGCTGGTAGGGAAAGCATTTTCTAATGAGAAGAGGGAAATACCTGTGATGATGACTGAGTTGCTGGTGATGGCTCTGTCACCTGGATGTGCTGCACCTGGATGGCATGTTGGGTGTATGTCTGAGGGTCATGGAGCTGCCCAACATCCACTGTGGAGTGCTGGGACTGGTGAGGTGAGGTAGCCTGAGGAAAAAATTAAGCAGAGTTCTTTACCTCAAATTCTTTACAAAAGTAGCCATATAAACCTCTTCTGGGATACAAGGTCTGGAATAATGAAGTAGGAGCCTTAGTGGAGCACACCTGTTGAGCCTTGTTGAGTTTCTTTGCACCCCGGGAGATAAGGTACATTTAACAGATGTAATGGCACAGAGATGGCTCTATCTCAGTGATACCAATGGAAAGGACTTGCCTAACATCATTCAAGCTGTTTGTGGCAGTGGCTGGACTAAACCAAAGGGTTCAAAAGCCAGGATTAGCGTTAACCCCTTCTGTGTAAGCATCTTTCTGTACAACATATACATACTCAAGATCTGCATATCCAATTCTATAGCTTGACACAGCTCTGCATCAAGACAAGCGCTCAGAGGTTTTTAAAGGTTTTTCTGAACAACACGCACTAATGATACCAATTGCAGTAATTGAATTACAAGTCTTGGATATTCATAAAATTAAGATCTTGTTAATATTACCTGCAGGAATCAGTATTCATGCTCTTGTATTGTTACAACAGCCACAGTCACTATCAACTGGGGCCATTGTTTAGGCCTTTATTAGCCAAATTCATAATCTGATTTGATAACATGGAATTTCAGATTAAAATATAAACACATGGTAGTTTCAGTTTCTGTTGTAGTGTGTTCTTATACTTTGTAATGGTTTTGTTTTTGTATGCCCTTATTTTTCCCAGATGGTTTACACCCCTGATTGTACCCCTTCCTCCCTTTATCAGTGTAGTCCCTCTCCTTTGTTGAGATCATCCCCAAATCCCTGCCCTGGGTCTCTGTCAATCACTCAGCATCCCATCCTTTCTATCTAGAACTTTTAGTCCAAGTCATCGAGTGATTAGTCAGAGGTTAGGGGTCAGACCCCAAGTGCTACCCCATACACTACCCCAAATATCCATTCCCTAAGTGTTCATCCCTGAGGTTTCTTTATTGGTCAGCAAAATTATCTACTTTTTGGTTCACACCTCCCTTTAAAATGTAATCTTGGCTCCTCTCCCAGGTGCTCTGAGCAGGAGGCCCCCTGAGGTGTGGGAGCTCCCAGGAGCTCAGAATAAAACCTTGGATTAACCCCCCTGTTAAGAGTTGGCCCTTTCATCCTCTACCAATGTCTCTAGCATCTCCTCTGCTGCAAAGGCGACGAGCCTGGCTGCCTTGGGAACCCTCAGGGCACGAGAGAGTGTCCCCCACTGTCGGGGCTGTCCCCCCGCTGTCAACCGTGTCAGGGCTGGCCAGGGTTCCTGGGGGGCTCCCAGACAGACGGAGACAAGCTTACTCCAGTGGGTAACAGATTTCTTACAGCTGCCTGAGATCTTCCTCAGACCTGTTACTCTAGTTACACTCTGGTTTCATTTTTAGGAGGTTGTTGAGCATCAAGAGAATGAATATGCTAATAGATGCTATGAAGGGAACAAGCAATCACTCTTGTACTCCCAAATTTTGGCTCTGACTCACTGAGGACAAGGAAGTACAAATCAGTCTTGAAGTGCAGAAAATGGGTCACCTACTGACCCACCTTTCCAATAGCTAGGAAACATTACTAAAGCAGACTTGAACAAAGCTGCCCAGATGGGTAGAACTAAGTCTGGACTGTGTTGATGTGTCTCCAGCAAGCTGACCAAGGCTGGCAGGACTATTTATGCCTGGTACAAGTGCTTATGAAGGGAAACCTATGCCTTATCAGTTGATCTATCTGTAAAAAGTAGCTACAGCCCTTTTTGTAACTACTCCTTACCACACTTCTGTGTGATAGAGCCCCAAGAACACACAGGCTTGGAAGGGAAGAGATCAAAAGCACAGCAAGATCCCCACCAGGTTACTCACCTGGGCCACTTGAACAACTTGCAGCTGTATGTGCTGAGGCTGCTGCAAGCCAGTTGTGGATTGAGACACAGGGATGTACTGGATGCGCTGGTAATCTCCCTGGGGAGTCCGGTAATCTGTAGTCAGGGTCTGGGATATCTCTGTCATTGCTTGGGTCAGTAAATCTGTTGTCTGAGCAGGGAGAGAGTGATACAGATCATCATCATACTGATGTACTTCTTCAGCACTGTAGTTCCAGTTCTTTTATCTACACTTACAGTGGATCTGGTCATTTTTTCACAAGAGCTTAATGTGTCCAGAGATTGGGGTCATAAGTAGTCACCAGGGATCATCAACTAGAATTGCTGTCTTCTGTCTAAATCCTAGCCAGGACCAGTAGTGGCTAACTTAACACAGAATAATAAAAATAATTACTTTCATCTTGTGACATACCAGTATTCTGTTAAACAATGGAAGTCCTGTATTTGTGAAGAGCTGACTTAAGTTCCAAGACTTCCTCCCGTGTCAGAGTCACACTGTATTTCTAATGTGTAAAGACACTTAGCTTATAACTTAATCAGGTTTATGAAGCCAACAGCATCCTGATTAAACCTCTCAATTTTCAAGCAAAACAGTCTTTTATCTAATTAGTCTTTAGATAAGAAGTTTTGAACTGTGATCAATAAGACTTTTAAAACTACATAGTATCCCACAACATTGAAGGACACATTTTCTAGTCTCAGCTTTCATTTCAGTGGCAGCTAATGTATTAACAGTAGAGAGATCAGCCACTGGAGATTCATTTTGCTCAGTGCTGTGCTGTCCAAAGGATTACAAAAATATCTGACTCCCTGAACACAGTTTGATCCAGTCCCCAGTCACTGTTAAACTTGTCCTTTTGATGCCAGGAACTGCATCTCTCACTTCAGGAGAAAATTCCCAGTGAAAATCCATGAGACGTGTATCCCTGAGCTCATAATGTGGAGTCAGTAGATCTGAATATAAGAAGAAAATGGATCTGGGGATAAAAGACCAATCCTTAAAGCTCCAGAACAAAATGAACAGCTCCTGACACTGCAAAACTGGACCACACAGGCTTAAAACCAGAAGTGATCTCAAATAATGTCCTAATACAGGTTTTAAAGTGATGTCTGTCAAATAAACCAGGGTTACTAATACCAGAAGGCTCCTGTTCTGTGTGTCTCCCTGCACTGCCCTTGTGTGCCTCCAGTCCTTACCACAACAGTTTCTCCAGTTGTGCTGTCAGTGGTGAGAACAGCTGGCGTGGAACTGATGACAGCCGTTGCCAGTGGCGCATGGATCGTGTTTGGGAGCTGAGCAAACTCTGGGTGCTTCTTGCGGATGTGCTGCACCATCTTTGTCTGCAGAGAGAAGCAAAGGAGTGTTGGAAGGACAGTCAGCAACTCTGCTCAGGGCCATGTGAAATCCCAGCCTGGCCAAACACAGCTTTTAGGTTTCCCTCAGTAAAACAGCCTCAAGATTCACACTATGAGATCCTCTGGTCAACAAAGTTGAAAACAAGGATCACAAACCTGCTACTTGATTAGAACTGACACTGAAGTCTTGTCCTCAACAGCTTTTTACCCCAATATCACCAAATGTTTTATGACTTTCTCCAAAGGTCATCTTTTCTGTGTTTTGTTTCCCTGCTCGTCTCTCCTGTAACTACCAGACAGCAGTTTTCAAGCCCTTCTATTCATGATCATGCTCTGGTAACTTTTCAACACAAACCCTCTATTCATGGAATCTTTTGGCACTAAAACAACCAGACTGTGCCTGCACTGTCAGCACACAGCACAAAACCAGCATTCTGACTGAGATGAAGAGAGCTCTGCTTCTGTACAGACAGGTGACAGAGACCATGGTGAAACAGCATCCCCAGGGAGAGGCTGTCTGAGGCAGGAACTTCCCATACCTTACTGCTGTATTGCTTGGAACAGTGAGGGCAGCACACTGGAGGGGTGGCAATGGTGCCTGTCAGCTGTGTGTGGGTGCTTAGCATAGGATCCGGCTCTCCCGGTCCTGCAGGACGCAGTTTCCGGATGCTTGGAGGTAGCTCAGCACCAGGATGGTTTTTCAGTATGTGTGCTTTGCGTTTGCTGGCACTCTTGTACACCTGAAGGGCAAGGATTTGGAATTAAAATGGTGCAACCCTGGTGTCTGTACAGGAAACAGCTACCAGTTATCTTGATCTGGAAGGTCTGCATGTTGCTTTAGAGAATACATTTAGTTAAATCCCCCAAACAATTACAACAAAAGGCATGAGCATACATGCCTTCATCAGTGTTTCATCACCCTGTAAAAGCAACTGACTCCTTGTGTAGCAGAGAAACCTTTTGAGAACATATTTTACGCCACAACCAAACACCGAAACAGGACAAGGAGGTAAGAGGAAAATTCTTCGTGCCATATTTGAAGATCAAATGCCCAATGTTAATTTGTTATGATGGTTGATATCTCTACTTGACACAAAGCATCAAACTGTTTTAGTTTGGTGATCAACACAGCTTTTAGTTCTTTTTAGGCACATCAACAAACAAATACTATCTAATAATTTAAACTATTTTTTCTCCCCTTAAACAAAAGGAAAAGAGGCATCACAGAAAGACGTACTGAGGATAATGACAGTCAAAATACACTCCCTGGTAAATATAGGCCCCCAGGCATAAAAGGCAAAGGAGAATAAGAGGAAGAACCCAAAGGCACCGCAGAAGCAGCTTCAGGCTCCACTGACCTAGTAAGCAGCTTACAATAAAAGGTGTTAAAGACTAACTTTTAGAAGTGATGCAGCAAGAAAAAGTACTTACTGGCCAGAAATTATGCACAGACAGCATACTTAGTCCTGTGTTAACACAAGACTAAGGGTCAGTGACTGTCTGCTGGATAACAGTATTCAAGTTTTCCAATGCCAAACACAGCAGAAAGGGGAAAACTACAGCTTTCAATTAGCCTTGGCCTAAGTGCATTTTGTCTTCTTTTTTTTTTTTTGACAGTACTGCAGGAGTGTTGCTGGCAAGCACCTCAGAAAAGCTACAAATCCCTCCAGAGATTTCTATGCAGAGACAAATTGGTTGCATCCAGGACTGGGACTGAGCTATCCTCTGAGGGGTGACTTCCCACACACCTTATCGCAGTATTGACAGAAGTAATCTCTGTTGGGTTTTATGATGGGCAACGTGAGCTCTGGCACCTCTTCTATTTTCATGTCTGGATGTCTCTTTGATAAATGATTCACCTTAGGAGAAACAGAGGACAAGAACACATTACAGCTGGAAGCCAAATGATTGGTGCTTCTTCCAGTCGGGGTAACAGCCAAACCAAAACTGAATGATGCAAGCCAGCATCACTAGAAGCATTTGCTGATGCAAGGGTTATTGTGCACTCATATTTAACTGCTGAAGGTAAATGCGGTCTTGCTAGGTCTCATTTACAGTTTCTTTAACCAAAATTAGATTGAAAGGGGTGAAATAGTTTGCCAGAACTGTCTTGTAGCTGGTATCTGAGAGTGAGGTCATGTGAAGGGCCTCTGCCCAGATCAGAACCCCCATGAAACCTAAGTAAACAATCTCTTGCTGCACAACAGCCTTTACCCAGAGGCAGTGACATGACATGGCCAGAAGAGGCCCTCGAGAAGGGGGTGAAACAAAAAAAGAGGAAAGACCGCCAGGAAAACAGAGGCACTAAGGCTGAACAAGGCAGTATTTTCATCTCATGTCCTGTTAAATACAGTACACATCAGTCAGCATCACTTAGTGCTGAAATATGGTACTGACAATCAGATGCACAGTGCAGGCAGTAAACGAGCAAATTTGCTGAAGAAGTAAAACACACAGATTTAAAAAAAGATGTATCACCTCAACTCAGCTACAAAATTTGCCAAAATTTGTTTCACACCATCCTGGCTGGATAAGACCAGATTGGATGGGGCTTGGAGCACTCTGGTCTACTGGAAAGTGTCCCTGCCCATGGCCAGTAGATGGAATGAGATGAGCTTTAAGATCTCTTCCAGCCCAAACCCTTTTATGAGCCTTGTATTCCAATGCTGGAATTCCATCTTTATTCCTTACCTATTCATCAGAATGGAGTACAGAGGCTGTAACAGAACCCAGGCACTCACCAACATGCCCCTGCGGCGGAAGCCCATCATGCAGAGGCGGCACTTGAACATGAAGCTCTCATAGTCAGTGGACGCGATCCGGGGCTTGAAGGTTTTGGAGCGGCTGATCCGATCAGCCTTCTTGGCCTCCCTCTCTGGGTTGTGCATTCTCTGCATGTGCTCTCGCAGCTTGTCCTTCCTCTGGGAAGGAAAAATTGGGGAGAAAAATGTCAGCAATGTCACAGAAACTGCCATATTGCCTGTTATGCATAAGAGCCACAGTTTGAGGAGTTGTTCAGGGATCTCTCTCCAGAGAGGGAAATTTTCCTCTCAGAAAAATGTGTTCCTTCACCCAGAAGTATCCAGTCCCTCAGTGTCCCATCACAAACTCAGTGACAGGAAGCAGGCTGCTGCCACCACAGTTTACCTGGCTCACAGTCTGCTCCATCTGCTCCAAGGAGATTTGGAAAGGAATCTGGATGACGTGCTGAAAAGCTGGATGCTATGGACACAGGCTTCTTGGCCAGTAACATTATTAATCCACTGGCACCAGCAAGTTAACTGAACTGTTACAAGCAATGTAACCCAAACACCTGGCAATGGAGGTGTATGATGTCCCAGTTCTTAATGAGCAGATAGAAAGTTCCTTTGCTATTTAATTACTAGGAATAAGATCTGTTTGAAATAAGATGCTGAGGTAACCTTGCCCCTTGTCTTTCAGAAATGGATGTCACAGCTCACACAGGACACCAAGCAATGCATGCAACTCACAGGCAAGTCTAGTGTGTTATTTTCTTTCACCTTTGAGAACATGAACTTATCTCCTTGAAGGAGGGTAAAGAATAGTGGTTTTTGTACTAGTAATGATCCAGCCAAGAGGCGCCTCACCTTGAACTGCTTGCCACAGGTGGAGCACAGGAAGTCTTTGCGGTCTGAGTGCCGCAGCATGTGGAGTCGCAGCTTGTCGGGACGGCAAAAAGCCTTGTCACACTCTGTACACTGGTAAATCTTCTCAGAATGGAAACTGCGCACATGTTTCTTGACCTAAAATGGCAGATCACAGAAAAATGAAGTTTATTCAAGAGAGAAGTGAGTGGTAACACAGTCTAGGAAACGCTTTGCAATGTGAAAGAAAAGGAAAACGTTTCGAAGGTGTCTAGTATACTTTGGTTTAAAAAGTATTTGATCAGAACAGTTAATATCTCAGCAATAGTTTCTATAAAGCCATAACATTTTTATTACTTATCTGGATGGGTGATTTGATTTCCTCAAAACTGATTCTTGAAGGCATCAGCTATTGCACAGCTGCACTTAATGGGCGGCAAAAGTCCACAATGTACCATTTGCACAAAATCACCCTTGAGTTAACACATTCATCTGAGGTTCATTATCTTCCTTTCTTTTATAAGAAACCAAAACATAGGGACTAATTCCTTTCAATCAGACACAATGAGCTTGCAATTATAAGTGGCAAATAAAAAAACCACTTATTCAGAACAGCATTTGTGCACCATTCCTGAATGGTGATTACTTCTCCATACTCGGGGACTATCCTTCACTCTTCAAACATCTAGAGGGGTATTTTTTTCCTCCCCCCAATAAAGGAACTAATGAAGTTTGACATCTAAAATGAAAGCATTGTTCAAGAAATGGATCTCTAATTAAATCCTTACCGTCTTCTAATACTGATCATACACGGAACAACTTGGCATCTCTACCTGTTCCACATAGAAGTATTTCAGTAGGCAGCAGTGACTAGTCTTACTTATCCACACAGCAAGAAGAGAAAAAAAATCATTGTTAAATGTCAAAAATACAACTGAATAGGTGGAAAAAAAGCCATGGGTCTTTCAGTCATTTGCACGGGAAAGTTTACAGGGAATTAAGTTGCAGTACAGCATTTCTGAATCATCAACATTCTTCCTTGCTGAATATTTCCAGAAGATAAAGGACTTCTTCCAGGATGGAATTATATTAGTAAAATCACTTTCCCCCATCCTTTCCTCTTTAGTCTAGTGGATAGTCTATCTGTTCCTATTACTGACATAAACTGGATTTCTATATTTCAATTTCAGTCAGGCAGCTCAGTAAGACACATCAATTACTTTGTCCCTAGGAAGGATAATGAATATGTGCATGGTCCATCTCAGTTTTTTCTTACTGGACACAGAAATAGAACCTTTAAATTCTACTAATGAACTTGTCCAAATGCTTAGCATAGTGTACAGTAGCTGCATTACTCACTGCTCCAGTGCAGTGTACAGGGAAGGAGAATAAAGTGCCCAGCTGAAGCTCAGGGGCGAAGTCAGGAAGCAGAGTATCCTGATCTGTTCTGGCATTTCTTCAAGCTGTTCAAATGAATTATCCTGACAGAAAGCAGGCAAGGGATTAAAGATGTAAACCCCCTTGTTCTTTTGATCAGAGTCTTCATGATGAAGGGCAAGGTGCGTTCAAGTACAAGCTGAATACAATAAAAGACAATTCTTTCTTGTGCCACGGCGATGTAGTAGTCAGGACCTCTGCTTCAGGAATTTTTTAGGAATAAGGCACCCACCCGTCTGCACTACAGTGCCTTCTAATTGACAGATTGAAGCATCACACCTGGTGATTTAGTGGACAGAGTACTTCAGTGTCATAAGACAATGTCTAGCAGTGGTTGGTCACTCTTCCTTTTTAATTTCTGACTGAGGTGGACCCCTGCATCTTGTGAGAATGAACTGCTGTGCAGTTACACAGGGAGAGCACTGAGAAACCCACAGCCTTGTGAGAGACCCCCAAAGCAGTGTTTCAGATCAGTACAGCATCTCACCTGGATAAAATCTGGGAAGCGCTTCTTGCAGGTGGGGCAGGTGAAATAGCCATCATTGACATGGATGGCCACGTGATCCTTAAGCAGATCCAAGCGGTCAAAGGACTCAGGGCAGAAAATGCAGGAGTATGTTTTCTGGTCCATGTGAAACTTCATGTGGCCCTCGAGGGCACCACTGTTGATGAAGCCCTTGTTGCAGATGTCACAGGTCAAAGGGCAGTTCCCTTCCCGCCCATGGAACCGCAGGTGCTGGTCCAGCTTATCCTTCTCCCGGAAGGCCTTCCCACACTGCAGGCATTTGAACGGGCGGAAGGATTTCCGGATGAACAGGTGCTGCAGAGCTGCATTCTGAAAGAAGCATCCAAGAGACCATTAGCTTTCATTACCACTTATAGACTCCACATCCATATATATTCAGGATTAAATATACCAGATGATTAGTGAACCTAAACTACAAGAAATTATTTTCCATCATATGTGGTCTCCAATTTACAGCAGGGGAGGCTGTGACAGGCAGAAGTCAGGGGACACACCTGCAGCTACACCCTGAGTTAACAGAACATAGTGAAGGAGTTTCCTTTCCATCCCCAATTTCTTCTGATTTAGCTGACATTCTTTAAGCATGCAAATTTTCTGTAAAATAAAACTAAGTCCTCTCTGAAGCACAGACCCAGGCCTGAGAAAACCTGCAATTCCAGCTGATCACTGGGCATCACGTCATAAGTTCAGCCACCACACAAAGGAATGGTGAGCCAGCACTGTATGTTTCCCTCAGGAGCAGGGCTTATGAAATTCCACAGCCCTTTACAAGATCACCTTCTGCATCAAAGATCACCACAGAGCTGTGCAGCGGTGGTTTAGCATTGCCTGGAGAACTTTTAGTGGAGCATACATTCAAGAAATGCTGGTCTGAACTTTTTTACTATTGCCACAAAGAAGAACAGAGTTTCAAAACATGATGACAAGGGCAGAATGGCAGCCTTATCAGCAGCACGTAAAGAACTTGTGAGCAATACTCCACTCCTACTGTGAACAATGTCTCTTCTCAGCACCTTTTTTTTTTATGTGTGTTTGCCTTCACCCTGCCTTTTCTGTAACATTTTGTGATCATTCTCTATTTGTTTTCTCTCCTTACCCTTCAGATAAGTGTTATAGAGCCAGCCCAGTCCTTACCCAGCACTCTCTGCTGGAAGAACAGATGCTGCTGGATGCACTGCCTATAGAAAGAGGGAAGGAGGTCCTGCACCTGCACTTCAATATTGGATGAGAACTTTCATGTTGGATAGTTGCAAAGCTGGAATTGAGTCCTATGAAATTCCCCAGCACATTGTCACCCATACTGCATTTAAGGTACACTGCAATGCTCCATTCCTCTGCAAGAAGTCTAAGCAATATCCATTCTTCTCTCAAATACTTCTATAAACATTATTTATTGATTCTTTTTTCACATCACACAAAGAATCTACATCATGATAGTCAGAGACAATGTGGAAGAGCATAGTTCAAGTTGCATATTAGGAAGAAATTCTCAGCTGTGAGGGTGGTGAGGCCCTGCCACAGACTGCCCAGAAAAGCTGTGGCTGCCCCACCCCTGGAAGCACTCAAGGCCAGACTGGATAGGGCTTGGAGCAACCTGTCATAGTGGAAAGTGTCCCTGCCCATAGCAGGGGGGTGGAACTGGACGAGTTTTAAGGTCCCTCCCAGCCCAAACCATGCAGATTCCATTAAAATATTGCTGACACTTCTGCTCACATGTGTTCCATATGAACCACTTCTTCATGAGACCCATTCATGACTTCTGCAAACAAATTTCCCTCGTTTCCTCTCTCCTGTGCTTGTGAGAATGTGGCAGCTGACACAACTGACATTTGCTGTGTCTCTTAAGTGCACACCAACAGCTGACACTGATTAAGTAAAATTATGAACTCTTCTGCTGGAACGAGGGAATAGCTTGGGAATACTGTGAAATTGCTGTGCTAAGAATTAAATTTGTGAACCTCAAAGATCCTTTTTCACCATCTGAACTGCAGAGGGAAACCTAGACTTTCATTCCAGGAAAGAACAAGAGAGCAAATGTTTTGCTATCAAAAAAAAATTAACACTTTAATACAGGAGCTCCAAATAGGGCTTCCCAGGAGCTGTCATCATCACTATTCTCAATTTTACAAGTGGAGACAATGGGAACCACAGGGATCTGCTCTAAGTCACACTGGGAACTGGAAAGACAGCCATGTGCTGTGCAAAATCTGATGTGCTGCTTGGAGTTCAAAAGCATCTCCCTTTAACCACAGGGAGATGCTAATAAAAGATATATGAAAAGATGTATTTCAAGTCCTGAACTTCATGATTAACTTGAGTTTTGATCACGGGTTCCTTAGCAGGGAGCTGACTGCTAATAGAGCAGGCCAGACTCAACACAGCCCTGTTGTTATCTCAAGGGCTATAGAATGTGAAATGTTTTACTGCTCTTTGCCTAGGTAATCTATCAACTATAAAAACAGAACAAAAGAACTGTTGTCTCCTTAACTTGTAGTATTGATTTGGCACAAATAATTGCGCAAACAAATCCCCCAAAACTTTAAGACCGATATTACAGCTCTTCATCCAAGCAATTTATTCCTATAAAATCCACCTTAAATCTACAAAGAACTAGTATGAAAAGAACTGGAAAGATGCAAATTGTTATTCAGGTAACACTTAGTTCTGGACATGGGTTACCTAAAGAAGAATGAATGTGACAATTTATGGTGCAGGGTCAATCAGGGAAACACTAAACAGGAGTTGGACCAAACAACATGGAAGGCGGTGTTGATACGTACCATTGGATTAGATACAGGAAAAACCCAATGAAACAAAAACACAAACCTACCTGCAGCTCCAGCTGAGCAGGCAGCATTGAGAGAGAAAAAAATACTTATGTTATGCAATGGACTTGAGAAAACAGAAGCCTTGACTTCTGCAGGTCACTACAAGGGCTCTTCCAACTAGAGTTAACTGCTTTGAGGTTTTTGCCTCAGGAAACACTAAACATATCTTCCAGGTTTACTCTGTAGTTAGGAACTACTCAAAGGGAGTTAAAAGGGCAAAGATAAAAACCACAGATAATCTTGAAGGTGTTTTGTGACCTTTCCTGTTTTCCTAGGGCTGATTAACAGGGATGCAATATGCACTGCAGAACCATAATGAGAGCAGAATGCTTTCAGCAGAAGGAAATAATTAGGGCAGGATGACAACAGGGTAGGGAGAGTAAAAAAGTTAAGGAGAAGGGACTTTTTCTAACCTCCTTTTACTGACTGTGCTCCTTGTTGCACAACCACTTGCATTTCACCATGAAGGAAGTGACTGTGCTTTCCAAATCATATTCCTATCCAGCCTGTTTCTGGCATTAGCACACAGACACCCTATATGCTGCCCAGAACTGAACTAAAAACAAATATTCATTTTGGCTGTGGACCACAATGCTCTTCTAATTTTCTACAAAAGTTCTTGAAGTGTGCGTGTCTCTCTTTTCAATACTAGGGGCCTCCCCAGCTGCCACAGTTAAGGTCTGATCTCCAAGGAAACCCCACAGACTCTAGAGCAGAGGCTGAACTGATTCTATCAGGGCTTGAACCCTGGGGTAGGACAAATCAGTGCTTCCAGCTAGCATGAAAACAGTCTCAGAGCACCATTGTCTTAAGCCTTAGAAAAGCTGAAGTAATTCACAAAGAACGACTCGTTTTGAAAACTAAATCCTATTTAATTAATAAGGAAGAACAAGAGCTACACAGGTTTCAGAATCATAACCAGGAGTCAGAACTTTGTACCTTTTCTTTGGAAGCGAATAAGGTACCACATAGCTAAAAATGAAATGCTTGCTTGCTTTTATTTTGAAGTGCGTGTTATTGTAAGCAGGTGCTGTATGAGTGTTCAGAGGGTGATTTTTCAGTGCTTAAAAAATGATGCTTGCTGGTTTAGTCTTATCTCAAGTGCTTATTGCTCACAGTCTGATGCAATATGGAAAGGTCTGTGCAACCATCCATCTGCCATTCTGCCAGTGCTACTGGCTTGAAACATCTCCAGGACTCTGCTGAACACGAACTGCCAGATAAAGGGAAAGTTCAGAAGACTTGAAATATAAACGTATCAGTGAACCACCACTGCACTTCTCTGAGCTGTCATCCATTTGTGATGAATTTACAGAGAACAAAAGCTAAGTCACAAGACAAAGAAATAACTTCCGAATTTCTGTCCTTTTCTTCCTACATTAATTTCAGAGGATCCTAAGTTCATATCTTGGGTTCAAAAGTTCAGGGAAGTGGGCAGTGCTTTCTTTTCTTTTCTGAGGACGCTGTAGCACACTGTAAGTAGTACATCCCAATGCTCTTGTCAAAACTCGCAGCATCTCTCTCTGTACTCTACTATACACCCTTCAAAACACATTCAATAAAAAATCCCCCAAGCTTTTACCATATGAAAATTAAATCACTGATAGAAACTTGCCATTCAGAGACTGCAAACATATTGTATGGTTAAAAACTGTGCAGTCTTAATGTGCCCAAGCCAAACTCTTCCTTCAAGACATACCACAGCATTTTTGGGGTAACATCACCATTGGTCTTGCATATATGTTACTGTAAACTGCAAGCAAAATTTGGCTCAACATCTTCCCATACAGAATAGTTACTCAACTCTTTTCTAATCCTTCCTCATCCCCTAAAAATGAACACTTACTCCACTGCAGCTGTTTCTTTCCTTAATCCAAAGTTAACACATGGAAGAAAAAGATTTTAAGCTAAATAAACTCATCTCCCAGTTACAAAGCTTCAAGGATTATTTCCTTGAATCATTTCCGTCCCACACAACCAGCTCAGCCAGTTGACATTGAGCTCAAGCTCAAAGTAATTGCTCTTAACACAGGTTTTGCTCTCAAAGGCAGGGTTTTCTACCCCAAAAAAGGACTTTATCACTAAGTATCATCATCATCTAAGTGGATGCAAATGGAGGTTGTGTTTCCTCTTTGGCAATTATTTGCAAGAGAGTTCTGAGAGACACAGATGGTGCTGTGAGCAAGTCATTAGTCCATGCCACAGCACGAGGATTCTGCCAGTTGTTTGAAGCACCCTGGCTTGCCAGTTTGGATGGATTGTGTTTCCATGCAAGAATTACTGTGATGGAATTCAATCAGCTCCAGCTCCTGACCAGTTCTCACTAACACCTATGAGATACTGGTCCTTTATGTGAGATTTGTCTTCCTCTCAGTGCAAAGAAAACTGCTAGGAATGAGATGCTTTTATTGGGGTTTGGAAACGGATCTGACAGTGAAAGGAGGACCAGCTGGCCCTGGCAGGCAGGCCTGGCATTCCGTGGGTTATAGTGGATGTGATCCCCCATCCTCTGTGCTTACCCTGATGCGCTTTGCTCGCCTCATGTCATCTGCTGTCACAGTGCTCTGTGTGGGCACCGTGTTCCCCTCGTGCTGTGGCTGTACATGAAGCACATGGTTATCCTGTTGCTCCAGTGCTGCCTGTGGCTCTGTTGGCACTGGAGTCTGTTCCTGCTGCTCCAGCCCATTCAGTGGGGCTTGTCCGGCCTCATCAAACTGCCCCTTGCTGGAAAAATGCAGCAAGTCCTGAAATCGCAAATCATACAACCAGTGATTATTCCCCCCACCCACTGAAAAACACTTTGATAATACTCAGCAGACAAGATTTGTACATATTCAATCATAAACTATAAACAAAACAGCATAGTGTAGTGTCTGCACTAACTCCTACTGTGTCCACTGTTGCTTTTGGCACATCACCTTCACCTACAGCAGCATCACCCAGGGCACCAGGGAGGCAGTGCTGCAGGTGGGCGACTCTTCATGGGCCATCCTTTTCTTTGACCAGCCACGGTCATTATGCTTTCTTTCTCAGCATTCTTACTCACCCATTCAACTCAGCAACAATGATGCAGTAAATAATAAAAATTGAATAAACTTTGGCAGCAAAACCAATCAGCTTTATCTGGCTGATTAGCCAGATAATAGCCAACAAGGCTCTTCTGCACTCAGGACTATTTCCATTTTAACCAAAGCAACTAGTGCAGACCCAGGAAAGGAGAGAATTTCTGTCTCATGGAAATTGTTGTCACTTTGAAACTCTGTGTGTCATTTTGCAGTGTCTTCTCCTTCCTAACGAACTATCTGGAGTGCCAAACTGGAGAGTGACAAACAAGGTAATCACACTGGACGCTATGTGTTTTTTTAATCCAGTTTCCAGCTCTGTACACATCACTTCCATATATCACACAAAGCTATTTTTCCTCCTCTTTCACATTAGCATAAAAGGGAGGTGTTGTGAGCAGGAAAGCACATGCCAAAAGTCTACATTCTTCCCCTGCAAGTTCTGATAACCCTTCTGGAATGGAATCATCTTCTATTACATAAAAAACCACACACAGATCCTTATTTTACACCATGTAATGCAACTGAAGAAACTTAAAAGCACAAGTTAGGAAACAGAACACCAGAATTAATTTTGAATTATGTCAGCTTAAGGGTGGTGCTGTCAAAACACAAAAGTGGGTGTGGGAGAAGAAAACCAAGGAACGAGGCCCTTACAGACTGTGAGTGCTTACCAGAAAGAGACCCTTAGTAAACAATACACCATCGCAGTGTTCAGCCCAGGTCTGGGTGGCCAATTTCCACCTTGCTGACACTCCGCAATGCTCTCAGTCCCAAGGCAGAACTCATGCCCAGCTTTAGTGAGGTGAGCAGACCTCCAAGGGCTCAGGGCATCATCCTATCCCACTGCACAGACACAAGTGAGACCAGCTCTGGGCCATGCTCCAAGCTGGCAGGACACAAGCCACCTCCAGTCCAAAGGCCACTCACACACTGGACTGCACCCAGCAAGAACCATCTCCCCAGACTGAAGGGTTTGGGACCAGCATTAGGTTTATTTGTCTAAATGAGGCTGGCATGTGTCATGTTAGCCTGTAGAGAGGGTGAGCTCACAACTGCCTGCACCTAATGTAGCATTTAGGGCATTGCAGCAGGAATTCACAGGCAGAGTACACATTCCTCCCTCTGAGTCAGCACAGAGCCATGACCTAGTGAGAAGACAGAGGAAAATTACCACTCCAGATATCAGCTTTCAGCTAAGTCATAAACCAGAGCACTGATCCCTTCTGTCACTGCTCATAAAAGGACTTAGTGGTAACCTAAGCATGGTCAGCATCAGAGAATTTAGTTTTTTGCTTAAATGCATCATATTACATCCCTGCAGAGTATAACCAACAGCTACAAGCAAAAGAACATTTTGCAATAAGCCTGCCTACAGGAGGCCCTTCTGTTATTATTAAAACATCGAAGAGAATCGTATCTCAAACTTATTTAATTCTACCAGCAACAGTTGTAAGAGCAGGCTGATCTCACATTCCAGAAAGGACAAATAGGAGCCTAAACTCCCATTACAGCTTTACTGTCTAAATTACTTCTGTGAGGCGGCTAAACTGTCGCAATAAGCCACCTCACTGCTAAGTACCTTGCAGTGAAACTTGCTGCAGAAATCCAAGTGATTTTACAGGTTTTATAGTAGGGAAGTAGTGTTTTCTCCTGGCAGAGAATTCCAGCTAGAAACCAAGAATTATTCATTTTTAAGTCCAAAGCACACCCTCAGTTTGCACTGATGCCCCAAATTATTTTTAGTCAAGAGCTTACATTCCATGTGCTATTTTTTTCCCCTCCATCTCCAAAAATATACCTGTGTTCCTTCTTCACACTTTTCACCATTTTCACTGGTTACTTCCATGCGCATGAATTTGGGAGGGCGCCCAGGGCGTCTGCCTGGTCCAAATCTTCTCTTTCCTCGCCCACGACCTCGGCCTCTGGTTCTGCTCCAGGTTAGATACAAAAAAAGACTAATTTGGATTCTCCACTGATTTTATGCTTTCTTTCTCAGCACTCCTACTCAGCCATTCAACTCAGCAACAATGATGCAGCAAATAATAAAATGCAGTAAATAATAAAATCTGAATAAATTCTGGAAGCAAAAACAATGGGTTTCTGGCTGGTATCTATTTATTTTGTGCTTTATGAGAAGCCAAGGTTCAGAACACATTAAAATTTCTATCAGTAATCATGGGACCAAGAGGATTACTTGCTTCCATCTAGCCCTTTGCCATGGCAGACTTCTTCTAACACCCCAGTTTATGTTGTGCCGAGAAGCATTTTCAGCATGATGGAACAAGTGCACAAGGAAACCCATTTAAAATCTGAAGCCAAACATTCCTCCCCAAAAAGCATTCAGCTGTTGATGTCAGGCACCAAACAGAAGTGAACAATTTTGTGTCAATAAAGCAAAACAAAACAGAGTCACTTGCTACATTTCAGGAGAAAGAAGGCACCAATATCTTCTGCTCTGTGACAGGTGTTTGTAGATTCAGTTTTTAATAAGTCAGGATAAACTATCTTGCCACTGGCACACTGGCACAATGAGGCACTAGAAGCCTTGTTTTCCAAGCTCTGTACTTCCACATCTCTGAGAAACACAGTATTTCAATACTGTGATACTGAAACATTACCAATATTTAAAGTCATTGTCAAAGAAAAACAAACCAAAAACCTCACTAATTTCAACAGACTATTTATTTCTCTCAAGCTACTGCTTTCACAGTCTCTCATACCAGTCAGCCTCCTGCTGCCATGATTTTCCCTTCTGGTGCTGAGCTGATCTCTCCTGAGTTGGTCATTAAGATTTGCAGGACAAAGCCCCTCCTTTCTGCATGTCTGGGGAAGCACCCCAGTGATCCACAAGCGAAGCTAAGGCTGTCAGTACCTGCTGAAGAAGTCCAGCTTCTCGTCATGGGAGTTGAGGTGCTGCTGGAGCTGCTCCGAGCTCATGAAACGCCGATTGCACTCGTAACATGGCCAGTTCTTTTCCTGCTCCCTGAGCACTGTTGGAAATGTCAGTAACACCATTTCACTCATCACCAACTAAACCTATTTTTTTTGCCCCCAGCCTCTCTATCCTCTGTGGGCCAGATTTCTCCCCTGAAGGTTAGACAGGTTGCAGAATACCCAGCCCTGCTCTGCTGGTCTTTGCTTTTATGTCCTCTGCACTGTGCCATCTCCATAGCTCATCACAGAGACACAGAAAGATCACTGGGGACAATTCCTATGGACTATCAACACTGTTAGTTATTAAGGGGGATTCTGAAGTTCACCCTTGTACGGAAGAGCACCTACAGGATTGTGCCTCTGGTTTAAGTTAAGGGAGATCAAGGGAAATTTCTAAATCTAAAGCAGTCACACAGCAGACAGTGAGTACAGAAACAGACCTCTTCCTGAGAGAAAGCAACTTAAAGCTTCCCAGAGGCAAAGGCTTAAATTAAGGTAATATTCTAATGAGAACAGTTATTGGAAATATGCCCCAATAACACAATCTAGATCTGATTTAACTTTTCCCAAATTAGCAGAAATTTGGGAGCACTATACAGGCCATATACTTGAAAGTAAGGAGTGCAACTTGCAACCACCACCACACTGAAAGCAGAAGATCCCAAGTTACCCTTCCTTTCCTCCTCAGTTATGTCATGGATCTTCTGGTTCACAAACTCAGCGTAGGAGGCAGCATACCACACCTGCAGCAGGGGCACAAGGTAACAGGACACTGAGGAGGAGCCAAAACTAACGGAAATTCATTTGAAAATGGGTTTTAAGCAATACATTTACTTCACTTGCCTCAACCACTAACTCTTATTTCTCTTTCCATCCTGAATAATAAAGTCTGGTAAGATCAATGTGGCCCCACTGAGGAATGAAAGAGCTTTGCTCAGTAAGTGCATGCATTTAATTTTAAGGTCCAGCTTCCTAACACAAATGTTTATCTCACACATGGCTTCCAGTAGCTCTAAAGGAAGTACGATTAATCTCTTCAAACCCAGCTATGTGACTGTAAAGGAAGGATGTCATCAGAGTACTGATACCTGTACCAAGAGGAATGGATATATTATTAACTTGGGGGATTTCCCATTTCTTCCTGCTCTCCTTACATAGACAATAGGCAGCACCATCCACATAGATTCATTTAAAATGCTTCCGAGCTTCTGAAGGATTGGAGCAATATGGTCTTGCTTCCCACACAGATCTGCCAGGCACCAGAATGATGGACCCACTTTTGTCATACAAGGAATTCAAGCCTTCAGCAAAGGCAACCACAAGAGGCAGGAAGACAAAGTTCATTAAAGCCTAAAAGCAGATGCCCACATTTAGACGAGAATTCTTCCATAATTTCATTTGTTTGATGAAAAAGAGTGGATTTTAGAAAAGATTTCTCAAAGAAGGCATGAACAGATTTTCATCATGAAAAATTCAAACAAGTTTGAACTTGCAGTGGGCCACAGGCAGAGGTGAAGAGGATTTCAAGGACTCTCCAACAGGTGTGTCACTCTGCAGGAATCTCACTATATGGACAAAGACAAAAGCCTGGAGCTCCTGGACTACACAGCTGGCAGGCAAATCAGAACTTCCCAGCTTCAACTACTTTAATCTCTGGACAAAATGTGCATGAATGCCCTACATCCACTTGGGGAAGAAACGAAGTTACCAAGCCTTTCAGTTAGCAAGCCATTTTACCCCAAAAGGCACTACTAACACATAAAGTAAGAAAAATTATGATCCCACAGGGAGATTTAAAGTCTGATTTCAAATTGCTTTACAAACTGTTGAGAAAATGGTGTTTGAATACACTTAAAATGGATTTGTAAGATTCCTAGTAATTCAGCCTAAAAAAATTTAAGGACTAATTTCAGATTGTCCTGCTCTTAAAAGGGTATAAATAGGCTTTTGCCCTGATTTAGTATGTGCACTTACTAAGCAATTGTTTATCCAGACATATTGTTGAAATCTACATGCAAGAAGAGATTTGAAGAACAACAAAATTTCCTTATATCAAATTTTTTTTGTTCCCCCACCAGTGCCCCCAAAAAAGTTGAAAATTAAGGCTATCTTAGCTAGCCACGCTGAGATAATCAATAAATTTTTAGAGGGAACAAAACGTAATCAACATTATCAATAAATTTTTAGAGGGAACAAAAAGCAAACCACAGGGAAATCACAACATCCTTTATTGTTTTTCACATGCAAATTTTCAAAATCTCCAGGAAAGCTAGGTAAAAGGAGAGACCACATTCACTTAAGGCACCAGAAAACAAGCCAGGAACACACAGGGCTAACTGGAAAGATCATCCAGAATTAAAAAAATAGGATTGCTGCAATAAAAATCGGATTGTGTCAGCAAAATATGTGTTGTGTAAAGCATGACAGGGAGAGACAAATAATTTACCTATTTTTATTTTAAACTTCCTCATGAGCCAAAATGCATTAAAATGCATATGTTGGTGACTAACTACTTACTGACTTCAGTGACATTCAATTCAGGCCAGGCTTTTTTCAGAGGAAAAAAGTTCTAAAACTATTCACATCAGTAGTTTTTGGCACTTGTTAGGCATCAACTTTTATGTTACTATATTTCAGTAGAAAAAGAGAATCCTGACACACAAGCAATGCCATACCTTGAGTTCCTGCTTGGGCTCCACATTTTTAATGGTGGTGTAATAAATGTGATGGCCATACTGATAGGCCACCAGGTTCTGCTCCAGGTGATTTTGAGCAGGACGCACAAACATCATCCAGTTACACAGAGCCTCACTGGAAAGTTCAAACCACAAGTCCTCTTGCAAGTCTCGGTCTTTTCTGTCACCCTTATCAAGAGAAACCTGTAGAAAAATCCAATTACATGTGACTGTAACTGCCTGGCAGCACATTCAAAAGAACATGAGTTACTAAGAAAACTACTGTGCCCATGCAACTGTTACATTAGCAGAGCAATGAGGACATAGCTAATTTTCTCTCTTTACTAACACAGATCCAGAAACAAGCAGAAAAATATTTAGCAACAGGTAAATATTAACTAGGGAGGCACAATGGATCCTTCCAAGGCTTTCAGGGACAAGAATCATTCATTAAAGGGGTCAGGCATAGTATGAACAAGTGACTAACAAATAACACACAAGTAGCTGTAGCTTTAGTAGGCTACAGAAACACCAGTCAGAAGTTTCTAACTGGCAGACTCACTTTTCCTTTCATTTCTTGAGTCATGACACTGCCTCAAGCTGTAAGCAGCATTTTTTAGCTGAAATTCTCCTCGTTGCTGAATCTGCCTATGGTCACAACTTGCTTGTCATACACTGACCATCAGAACCCTCCTAAGACTATGGATCTAAACTCCAACAAATAAAGGACCAATTTTTTCTAGTGAAACAGCATATAAATGGATAAAAGTCACTCAAATCCATATTACCCCATACCAATTACTTGGCAAGAGGAAAGGCATAAAAATATCTCCTCTCCCCTACATCTTATGAAAAGAAAGGTACGAAAAATATTTTGAACAGACATTACAACATGACACTAAAGAATGGCTGCAGAACATCCTCAGAAGGGGGTGCTACTTTTATGTCCAGATGCTGCTGCAGCTCATGTGAGAGTGAGTCACAGCCTTCCATGTTATGCACCCTATATATACATACATATATTCTATCACTGTAATGCCAGAACATTCACCAGGATTAGTGTGTCACCCTGAATAACAGAGCAGATTTGAAGCCAAAACAATCTGGATATTTCTTAGTTACATTCAGAGATGGAAGTAACAAAATATCTCTAGTGAACTGATGAAGGTAGAGTGACAAATTAACGAAAATCAAAGCTTAGGCACAAATTGATTTCCCCTTTTCTCATCCTTACCTTCAAATGGATATAGCAGTCTTTGAGCTCAGTCTGTCTGACCAGGGGTCCTTCCACAGGCCCAAACTGTGTACGCTTTGGGATGCGCCTTTTGGAGAACACACCTCCCAAAAACCTGTCTATATAGAGCACCAGGGGAAGGCTGGCCCTTGCCCTGGTCAGCACAGGCCGGTTTGGGATGGGATGCAAAGGTCCATGTTTTGGACACACTGAGGGATGTGCGTTATTACACTCTTCACACCCTGCAACACAAAGGCAGAGAGGATATGACTTTTAGGCAGACACTCACACACTAGCTCAGAGACAGCCTTATCTCTCTCTAAATATCTTTGGCTCAGCTGTGGGAACACTTATGCCAATAGTCTGTCTACATTTTAAAATATTAGACAGGCCAGTGTCCAGCAAAATTAGAACAAATCAGCTCAGAGACTTCACTAAAGACAGAATTTTGTCTTTTCAGTCAAGCAGTCTAATTTGAATTCACATTTCTGGGAATCAAGACTCACATTTACTCATTACTGTTAAAATCTGAATGGTTTTTGCCTCTCTTTACTAAAGGTCTAATGGAGAGGGAAGGAAAAAAGTGGGGGCAGGTAGTACACTACATATGACTGCACATGCTTACACAAATCATTGGGATCAAAGGGTCGAGGTGGATCTGGATCCCACTCATCCATGTCAGTGTCTTCACCATCTTCATCCTCATCTTCATCCTCATCATCTTCCTCTTTTGTTTCTATCCTTTCCATTTGATTCTGTAGAGGTGCCAAAGGATCAGAACCATCCACAGCCTCCATAGGAGGTATCACCTGGTTATGCACCGGTAACGATGCCTGAGGCGAGAATTCACAAACAATTCAAGCTGATTCACAAAGAAAACTACAAGGACAAGCAATGAGGGTCCTTGCTACTCTACCCTTCCTGTTGCCTCTGGAAATGGAGAGGAGGACAAGGGACGGTGCTAAATGACTGCCAAGGGACGTTTTGCATGGCTGGCTGCTGCTGATGGCCTTGCTCAAAACACCCTGGCTATACCCTGCCAAGGACTCAGTTCTCAGAAGAAACTGAACTCAGAGGACATTCTCAACCCTCGCAGAAAGTTTAAAACCAAGTCCAGGCTCTGCGGATGTTAAGTGGAGCCTAAAGCTGTATTTTAATTTCTTTTGTACAAGTGAGAGAATCCTGCACTTTGGCACACAATCTTCTCTTTACAATCCAATGAAACCAATCTCCAGAGTACAAACGTAGAGGTCAAGAAGGGGTGAGGTAATGTGGAGACTAGATATAAACTATGGGACATGAAGAACAGTTGAGGGCATTGCATTCTTCCACTAATTTTCCAAGTTTAGCCCTTTCCTTCCTTAAAAGAACTACAACATTTGATGTTTGGCACATATTCCATCACCCATACAGATTTCTCAGGTAGAGAACAAGAAACACTACACGCAGCAGAACTGCCTGAAAACACTGGCAAGGAAACCCAGTGGATGCTGCTGTGACATGTAGTACTACAACTTCCATTAACTTCACTTTTCAGCACTGACAGAATTTTAAGGTGGCCGTTCACAGAAACATCAGTGAAACAGGTTTCTCTGTATATTAACTATATGATATCCTCAACCCCCATACATTCCATGGTGAGACTAGGGAAGACAGTACAAATCTGCACTACAGCTTGCTCACATCTCCTCCCAGATCACTTAGCCACATTTCATCCCCAGAGATGATGGAGCAATGGAATCAGTGCGCTCTTACATGAAAAGGAAAGGGTGCCTGGCAACTTACTCTATCTGCTTGTGGCCCCTGCTCCAGAGCCACTGGCTGGGGGGGGTCAGCAATGCTGCCGAGCACAGACAGGTTGGTGGGATTCATGCTCTGAGCAGCAGCAGGCAAGAGCACCGTTACCTAAAATCACAGGCACTCATTTTAGCACTGCAGCATTTCCATCAGTCACTTAACACATGCGCAGGGCCCAGCATGCACAGTTCCCTTGAGCCCTGCACTCTACTCAAAAACTGCTGCATTCCCATGATTTTTGGGGTTCAAACAGGAATGATGGGCTTGGAGAGAACCTGCAGCTCCTGGGAGAAAGAGAAAGACTTCAAATCTACACTTTGCAAATATTGAATTACCTATTACACATTCAAAAAGCAAGGTCCTGTGTTCAATTGCACTAAAAACAGATGTTAGGAGCTCTTTAGCTCTTAGTAAAACCAGTGATTTGGGGTCTTTTTTCCTCTACACCCAAATTTACTTTTGTTTTCAAGGGAAAAGGTAAAGAAGGACTAAAAAACATTTCCTCTTTTTTTGACTTTTTCTTTCCTCAAGCAAACCCTGCTGATGGCTGAGGGGTTTGGAACTAGATAAGCTTTAAGGGCCCTTCCAATCCAAATCATTCTGTGATTCTATGATTCAGGATCCATAAAAAACAAGATGGTGTATTGACATCATGAGAAGATCAAACTCTCAAAAAAGAGGATCCCAACAATTATTTTTCTTTACATTTGATCACACTGTACATTTTTGTTTACGTACTTTTTTTTAGTGCTGTAACAACCAAACTAATGCATATTACATTGTTTTATTGATGAATGGATGAGAACAAGGTAAATAAATGAGTAAATAAAACAAAATAAAACTAAGACCTCTAGGAATCACCTTTCCTGCCATTTGTTTCCTGCTTATCTATACAGGAATTTGCATTATTTCCTGTGACTTTTCATCCTTCTCTACAGCTGATATCATGTGGCTTTTAGTTTGTGTCTCTTGACTGTTAAGCAGCTTTTATGCTAAAATACAAGCTCTAAACTCTCTGTAGAGTGCTTAATAAATATCATATAAAACTGGGAACTGTGCATTGGGCCAGTAGCAAAGGAGCAGACGACAATCCATAACGTAAGCACTCAGTACTCCAAACTAGTTGCTTTGTTTAAAGACGTATTAAGAGTAATTTATGAAACTCCTGAAAAACAACAACAAAAAGACTTCAGGGAATGGTCCAACAGTGAAGAGGTAACCACCGTGACAGTCTGGTATTGACACTTCTGAAGTCAAGTGGTAACAAGAGGCATCATTTTTCCTGCAGTGTCCCAGCAAGGAGAGGGTCACACAGACTTGGATCTATTTGTACCCCCTATTAGCATTGCCTACCACTAATCACACCAAACATACCCTTACTTGCACTTCCATGTCAGGCACTGCATGGATTATGGACATTATTTTTAAAAACCTCTCACTTTATTTCTACAATAAAGTTTTTTTCTGAATGACAAGAGCAGCTTTATTTTTTATTTTATTATTAGTTGCCAGTTCAGGAATGTCCCACATGAAATGCTGATGTAAAAACAGCTGCAAAGGCAGGAGCTGACATAATGAGGGATTAACCATTCACCAAGAAATTAATATATATGTTAGGACTGCTGTCAGACTGTGTTGGAATGGAGGACAGGCTGAGGACAGGTCAGTGCTTCTGGAATAATAACAGCAGATCACCTCTGTTGTAACTGCCATCTGCACTGCTTACAAATAATCTCTATTTTTAATTAATCATATATTTGTTAAATGTATTTTAAGACAAATAGGAATTTCTGGCTTCTTAATGCAGGGAAATTGATGGAGCAAAAAATTCCAGAACAAAACTCCAGAGAATGAGAAAAATTAAAAGACAGGTAACACCTTTATTATGTCAATCATTGCTTTCCATTTGTGCCTCAATCATTTAGAACATTTTTTAGCAAGAAAATTTGTTTTCGGCACAGATTCAATCCTTCACTCTGCCCCAAGACTGTCAATAAACACACATTTTAATGATGGCTTTGGTGATGATTCAGATCTAGTATATCCACACGTCATTAAAACCCACCAAGCAGTAATGATTTTAAGTCTATGACAAGCAGAGAATTTCAACCACAGATCTGGAAGCACCTGTCTACAACTGATTATCACAGCACAGTCCCCAAAGATACCAATAAGAGTTAATAACAACTTCCCCATCCATGATGGATGTAAAAAGAATAAGGAAAAATTATCATAACTTTACAAACACAGCCTGCAGTTTCCTTTTTCTCCCTGCCCACCTCACACTGGCACACCCGATAAGGGAGCCAGTCACTGAACTTCTTCAGGTTTCACACTTAATTTCCTGTGATGTTTCTAGTAAACCTAGAATTTAATCCAATTTTTCCATCCCTCAACAGCCTTCTGTGGACTCCAAGGCATTTGGATCAGAACCTGTAAGAGGACAACTGAAAACCCCACCTTTCCAAAATGGCACATTCAGATGACATCAGCCACATCTGCTGCAAGGATACTGTTGAAAGATTTTTTCATGCTATCTGGGGCAGTAAATTAGAATTCTTGTTGAATATGAAGTAAAGAGAATAAACTCAAAATAATTCTTAACTTTTACTGTCATTCATGCTCAAGGTGATCATTGGTCTTGATCAGGGTGACAGCAAAAGACTAAGATTATGACTGTACAACTTCAAAAACAGCTCATTACCCTCATGCACCACATGAATGTCCCTTTACCTTCCCTCATTGTTCCCTCACAATTTTAGGCACAAAATGAATAAAATCTCTTCCTTACCTGCTGGGTGGTAGCATCCTGTTGGACATAAGCCACTTGGGACGGATCTGTAAACAGAGTCTAGACAAAGTGAAAAAGGCTTATCAAACCAGCCATGGGGGTTTTTACTCCCAACTCACACAAAAGTTATCTGCCACTATGAAACAACCCACATTTGAGCCTTTGTCAGCTTCTAACCTGCCTGTTACCACAGCAAACTACTTCAACTCGCCCAAGCAGACCTAGATACATAGAAATATAAAATTAGGTAATGCTCCATAAAGAGTTAATATATTTCTGTAGCACATTGCATCTGTACAGATAAAGTGTTTCACTTTTTTTTTTTAATTTACCAAAATCACTTTGTCAGTTGTTGATTTGATAAAATCTACAGCATGAAATTCAATAGCTCTGTCTATGCCCTTAATGTGTAACACTTAAAAGCGGGATAGAAGGTAACTGAGAGCTTTTTCTTCCTGAAAATTCAGAAGACTGCTGCATGCTTTCTTTTGAGGAACTATCATGCACATCCTATATAGGACTTTGATATGGCCAGGATGCTGTTTAATTTCATAGAAGCCATGCCAGCTTCAATACTCTGAAAAAACAACCCTAACAGAATCCCAGGAAAAGCAAGACTAAGGATTGACTGAGGCCAGCCTTACTTAGCCAAAACTTGAAACATCTAAACTTGCAGCAGCCTGGCTACAATAAAATAAAGCATGATATAATACAAATTCCTTTAACACTGTGATAATTTCATCTCAGATGCAGAAGAGTGTCTGAATACTACACATCTTTTGACACAATGACAGCATTCAGAGTTTTGGAGCTAGCTGGCAAGTAACTTCCTGGGAGATACCCTCTCAGGACATCACTTCACATAGAAGCTGGTTTTCTGGGACAGCTGAGGGCTGCACAAGACACAATGTGCCACATGAGGCCCTGCCAGCATAATGGGAGTGTCAGGTACATGCACTTTGCAGCACAGTTAATCTGCCCTGTCAGCAAAGATATTATAAAACACTCTGGACAAAGCCAGCCTGTTCCTTTTTAATCTGTCCACACTGAGGCAAAGATGCATAGCATATTGACCCCATATAAACATGTGCTGCACGGGAATAAAGGCTATTTGACATGATTATGCAGAAGAAAATTAGTATAAAAGGTCTATAAAATCAGCAACTCTGCAGAGACCACAAAATTATGTTGAATAAACAGAGATGCTCTGCAAAAAGACACAACTGTTATTGTAACTATCAACTATGACAACTGTACTACACAAAACAAAGATTCTTCCCGAAGGAACATAGATGGCTCTTAGCTTTTTACTGGATACAAGAGGCAGAACTTCTGGTGAGATTATCCTTGTTCTGGAAAACACCTTTGAGTAAATTATAATCTCATCCATCTTCAGTGAAGTAACCAGCATTTCATAATTCATAGCCTCACCATCCTTTGACAAGCAGATTTGCACATCAGACAAATGAACAGCATGAAGTCCCTGCTCAACAGTGGGCAGAGAAAACTGCTGGGAGCGACTGCCTGCTATTTTCCAGTCATACCACTTGGCTGGTAACTGGCCTTCATCCCAAGTAAGACTGCTGTGTTTTCTAGGTGCCAAAACCAGGGTGGGCTCAGAACCACACGTGCCTGCGTAGCTTCCACGGGGTGGATGTAAACGAGGGTGTGCTCCGAGGTGTCCACAGAGGTGTAGGAGGTGCCGTCAGCCGTGTAAACCACCTGCTGTGCAGGGCCGCGCTCCTGCTCATCACTGTACATGATCTGGGCCACTGCCCCCCCCTCGGGGACAAAGTGCACCTGGGGAACAAACAGATCCTGGACTCGCACCAACACAGGCCAGTGGGACACAGCACCAGAGTCATGGGGTGCCTTGGAAAGCAGAGAGAACTTGTGTCCCAACTAATCTGAATGCAGTGAAAAACACATATTTCAAATCTTACTCAATTATTCTACCAACAGAAATCTGGACACAACTTCTATCAGTGTCTGGTTTTACCTTGCATTGCATCTTAAGATGTAACTGCTATAAAGGGCACCCACCCATACTTAGCTTTTGCATGATGCTTCAGAAATTCGTAAAGGAACAAGTTCACATTTGAACTGATGTATCTATTAAATGTACTGGGATATTGTTTCCCTTTATGCTCATATGCCTTTTAGGATTTATGATAATTACTTCATTCAGCTAGTTCTCTAGTTGGAGGTAATTTTTGCTGATGAGAGGCTAATGGAATTTATTAACTCTGATACTCCTCAAGATATAGTATTGCATCCTCAAGATATAGTATTGCAGTTCTCAGAGTCAGCAGTAGGGCATATTAGACTGCTTCTCTGTAGTATGTATGTGCAGTATCAGTAGAAAATTCAACTATTTAAACAGACAAACCTACACCTAAAAATATTAAGCACAGATTCCAAGGACTACTGGAGCAAGTTACGTCTAGGGCTGCACTTTAAATCTAAACAAGTCAATTTTACCAGAACATTATAATCATAACTGATGATATTGATAAGTATTCTATTAATATGCATTATATTATTAATAATTATTTATAATTGTGATCATAACTGATGACTGTGATGATGGCCTACATTAAGTGAGCCAGAATACTGGATTCCAGTGAAAACAGGATTATCTTTAGATTTTTCCATTCTTTAAATGCTGAAAAGCATTTTCAGTGCATGGGAAAAACAGGACAGTGAGCAGGAAACCTAGTTTGAATACAAGTATTCATAGTCACATAAAATACTTTCACATAAAATGATACCACAGTTACGTATTTTGCTTATTTTGTTTCACTTTCTAGCTTATGCCCCAGAAGACACCCGGCACTTCCCCCTGGATGCTCAGTGCTGATTGTGTACAATAAATCTTCTCACAAACACTACAATTTCACATTTGGAAAGCACTCTGCACACATTCATTAAGCTTTAAAACTGCCATGTGCAAACAGCAGCATGGTTATCCCATTGCAGAGAGAAGGGAACACAGGCCATTGAAAACTGCCTTTCTTTGCAAATTTTAAAGCTGGAAATTACTAAAAGAGGCAGAATTTCTCAGCTTGTGGGTCAAATATCATGCAGCACCCTTTTTCTATCATACTTAAAAGAGTAAATCAATTTACAGAATTCTAGAAATTCCCAGTTGTGTTGTCTCAGAAGCAGAGGGACAAGCTGTATACAGCAGAACCTGAAAGAATTAAAACTGCAGAATTAAAACTGCCTTAGTCACTTACAATTAATATTTCCCCCTTCCTCACTACCCAGATGTCTGGCTGGAAAAAATTACTTGTATTACTTTCCCCAAGGTCCACCCACAGTTCCATCTGATTCAAATGATACCATCAAAAGCAGCTGCCACAGAGCACAGATTTTGTTCATTACTCTGAACACCCTTTACTCGCCCACACGGTAATAAACGTATTTGGACCCTAAAACTTCTAAAGCCACTACTTAGTTTTGTTCAGCTCATTTCAGAGCTCTGTGTCTTCACTGCTGCGGTTTGCACAGTTCCGTTTCTGAAGCTTTAACCCTAAATCACCACAGAAATGTTTGTATTTCTGCTCAAATGAAAACTGAGCTTCTAGACTCTAAATCAGGACCTAATGGGAACTAACCCTCCTCACCAATCCCAATCCAGCCCAAGTAGAGGCGGAGCTCTGGCTAATCACCTGAGCAGTATTCTGTTCCTGTCCTGCAGATTCAGTCCACACCTGAGGACTTTCCTCTTTCAAGTCCATCTCCTCCCTGCCTGTGTGCTCCATGAGGAGGAGGAGACCTACTGGAGTAATATCTGGCTGAAGGGATTCATCTGTTCATTGTGTTTCTGCTTCCAGAAGACAAGGTGATCTTCAGCAACATGGCTGTAAAAAAAAACGGAGAACAGAGACATTAAAACCAGCATGACCCAGGGCATGGAGCTATGAGGGATTTATTATAAACTGCTACCACACTTCAGCAACACAGAGTAAAGCTTTGGCTTTACAAACACCTCCTACAAGACCCAAGCACCTTAAGTTATGGGAACAAAGGAACAGAAATCTTATCTCACTGAACATAGTAATGTCCTACTAGTCACCACTTTCCATATCCCATTAAGGAGGGAACAAACCAACCATTGCACCAATTGCACTGAAAGATTACGCTGAATTCTTCCTGCATATCTTTCCTTGGCCACAGGCCATCCACACCACCTTCTCCTCATTATCCTTCTGGCACCTAGAGGCCTAGAAATAATGCAAAAAATGGACCTGATGCTTCCAACAAGAAAACACTATGTTCAGAGATGCATCACCAGTTCCTCAGTTTGCCTGAATGAGATTTTGTTTGACACCAACTGGTTTTCCATGTACAGACAGATTTGACCTTGGACAAAACCCCAGTCCTAGGTTAGTACAGTGTTACAATAGCCAACTAAAAAGGAACAATGAAACTTAAACTCTCAAAGAGCCCAACAAACTGCTTCTAAGTTTGGTTTAATTCACCTCTTGCAATTTTACCGGGGCCTCTCAATCTGCTGTTGCGATCCCAGAAGGGTAATTTACAGCTCTGTTGATTGTTTGAGTCGTGGTTCAGCACCTTCCCAATCCTTCGTCTCTAATGTTGTATTAAATCACAGGCCAGGAATTAGCATGAGGCTGAGCTCATTTCATTTCTCAGCTACTCCAATTAACTTTATTTTATATCCAGTACCTCGCTGGGCTGATCCAACGCCAGTACCCATCTGTGCCCCAGGAAGGAAGCAGAAGGCTCCTTGTGATGCTTTCATTCAATTGCATTTTAAATGCAAATTATTTTAGTCACAATTTATCCCTATAAATGCTAGCATTTGGCTTGTCATTGACAAACTGAAAAATAGATAAGGAGAGGTAAAAAAAGTAGCAGGCACTTTCTAATCCTCCTAATTTTGCCAGCAAGGACTAAGCTGTGCAGATCTGAGCACTGACTATTCCACTGGGCCTGACCAGCATGGATAAATCATCAGGGCAGGGAAGCCTCAGGCTAATGTCACTGAACTGTGTGGAGGAGCAAAAAAATCATATTACATACATACAGACAAAGAAAAATAGTGGGAAAGATATTTCTAGGCATTGCTAGACACCAAGTCTTGCTGCTGCTGCTACTGGTGACTGGAATTAACACTTACCGCCTCACGCTGAGCAACCCAGCACAAGAGCCCCACAAAAGCACACACTGAGGAACTGTTCTGATTCTCTCTTACATCCAAACACTTCCAGTTAAGGGAATACAGGGACAGAAACCTTATCTCCATTAATATTGCTTGATACAAAACATCCCCAAATACCACTTAGGAGAAAAATTAAAATAAAATCCACGTACCAGCATACAATGCCTGAGCTTAATATGAACAAATTAACTTCAGCAAACATGAGTGATAAACACCAGCCTTGCTCTCTAAATTTGGAAGGTCAGGGCAATTTACAGATAAATATTATTTATTTATATATCCAAGTGCACAGATGCTCTGTTCTATAAAAAATACCATCCATCGCTACACAGAACCTTTCTTGTTATGTTATTAAGGATTAAAGTAGGGATTTTCTCATATCTAATCCTACCTCATCCACTGACCTCCTTCACTCATTTTATCAGGTATAGGTTCTTTATTCAGAACATATATAAATGTATACATATGTCAGGTATATGATCACCTCTATCCGTGCAAAATGTGACAGCATTTATGTCAGTAACACACTGTGAACAACTTCTTTGCAAAACTTAACACCTATCCTGTTGATAATCTTCAGCTGGTTTATCCACAACAGCTCCTTTCCTAGACTGCCAGTATTAATCAAGAGCCAATTCAGGTAATTGCACTAACAGTAGCTGGTAGTTTAATCAATTACCTAACTGCTTAGAAAACTAAAAACAAAAAACAAACATTAGAGGTTCCAATTTGGGGTGGTTTGCCTTTAAAAAAAAATTATCCTGTTAAAAAGAAAGCAATTACATTACCTACTAATTGAATTAAGGGAAAGGCACAGTTCTGGCTAATTCCACATGGTGCAACAAGTAAAATTTTTGGCTGACCTTCCCTACCAGCAGACAATGAAGGTCTGAAGGAAGATGCTGACTCACTCCTGCAGAGTCATTTTGGCACGGATAACTTACAACTTGAGTACAAAGGAGACTGAAGGGCTCAGGCAGGGTCTTTAAAAGACAAAACTGGGAATTAAGATTCATCTCTGAAAAAAGAAGTACCAAAAAGTGGAAAGCAGAAGACAATCATTTCATGGTTCTGAAAGTTAGCACTAACTTAAAATCTTGGGGGAAAATAAAGCAAGGCTGAACCAAATTCAGTACCCCAGTGCTGCAGATTCTATAAACAACTTGGTCATTGCTGTTCTTGACAGAAATGAAAATAATAAACAGCTCAGCCCAGCCAATTGTGCAGCAATAAGGAACAATAGCAGTAACTGCAGGATTTGCTGATGCTTTCAACTTCTGTACTTCCAAATTCATGCTAGGATTGACCTCTGGTATGCATTCCCTCAGTACATCTGTAATCATGAAAACACACTGAAAAGCACATTTCCCTGGAAACATGGATGTGCTGAGAAGGAAGATAATACAAGAGGAGACAGGCTGTGTCCCAGAGAGGTCCCAGGGACAGGCAATATATAGGGCAGAAGGCGGGAGCAAATGTTGAAATTCACCTGTGAAATAAGCCCTGCAGTCAAAGCCCAGAAGCTGGAAAAATCTAACCCAAAGCCACTGACAATAGAACTGCCACAAAACACCAACACCTGAGCAAGTTTTCTGACACTGATGACAAGAAGATCAAACTAACTTTACTCACTGATCATTCAGTTTGCTCCTCCTCATTAATTCTGCACAATCTTATTTCCTTCCCTACATTCTACTCTCAATTCCCTGCCTTGACACTGACAGCCACAGTGTCTCAAAATTTTAACTACTTCCCTGTGGTCTTCTCTCAGCTTTGGTAGTTTTTTAGCAGAAATAAATGTGAAATTTTGGACATAAGCACTGCCAAATCACTGGCATGCAGGAGAGCTCTCTGCTTGCTCTCCACACTGTTCACCTATGGATTATCCTTTGCAATTGTTGATTTTTCTCACTGTATTGAACACATCAGACATTTTCAGACAAGCTAAATAAACACCAAGGCATGCACCTCAATGGGAAGCTCTGCTGTGTCCAAGGGATTACCATAAAGATCTGTGTAACAGAAATTGAAACTCAATTGCAGAAATTCTAAAAGAAAAAAAGATAATTAAAGATAAAAGGCATTGTGATAGGATAAACTCTTTTTTTTTCTCAGTATCCAGAAAACAGGCTACATTTTCTAATAAAAATCCATGTAGAGGTTTAGTAAAACAGTAATCCAAACAGCTTGCTTAAACTCATGTTAAATTTACATGTAATGTATGTCACACCTATATTCTCTCCACTATAAAATATAAGAGGCCTGGCTCAAATAATTTTTTTTTTTTCTTTTGGTAAGTTCTTACTTTTCTGGAAGTTGAAAGATTAGTCAATTATGACACATCACCCAATAGTCACCCAAAATTCCACCAGCACCCCAATGCTCTCACACAATCCAATGAGCATCACAAACATGAGCAAGAAGCAATGCCAGTGGGAGATGTTAAAGCATTTACAGTAATTTTGCATGGTAACTGCAGACACAGCATTTTCCTCCACAAATAACAGGCATGCCTCACCCTATCTGTGCTGGGTGATGACACAAGCTGAAATAGTAACAGGCATAACTAAAGAGTATCAATATAGTCCAGTACCACTCCAGTAAGGCAGTGGTGAGGCAGTGACTGTCCAGTGTCACCATATATTGTGTGAATCGTGACACAGCACAATCGAAGAAACAACACAGCTCCTGTGATTTTGAAATATCTCCTCTAGTGGAACATTAGCTCATTCTGAGCTGTGCAAATAAATTAACCATCCCTTCAGGACAACAGGTTTTTCTCAGAACACCATTCACATTCACTTTCCTGTTCTCAACACCTTCTGAGACCTGCTGCTGTCACAGACCTACGGCCATCTCTCTTTAGGTTTTGCATTTTACATCAAATCCAGAAAATTTCATTAATGACAAAACTCCTCTGCTGCTCCTGATGCCTCAAAAGCATCTTTGTGTCATTGTCTGACAGTTCTTTAGTTCTTTTTTTTTTTTTTTTTTTTTGAAATCTTACTTAAAACCTCCTTTTGACCTTGGCAACCCTCCAACCCTCTCCAACTCCTTCCTCCTGCTCCTGCAGGATGGTATTTTCTCCAGAGCCGTATTATTAAATCAGCAGCTTCCCTGTGAACTGCATTCAGCTCCAGAGGATGGGAAAGCACTGCTCAGAAGGCAAAGCACCTCACTGCCTATCCAACAGCAATGTCCTTGTTAGCTTTGCTGCCTCAGCATTAGACACCCTGGGCCACCACAGCTCCACATGTATCCCCTCACAGGTGCATCTCTGATTCCCCCACAAACACTCAAGAGTGAACGGTGCTGTAAGAGAAAACCCCTAACAGTAAAATCACTGTTGGTTTGTGTTTGGTATCTAAGTGTTTTAAACACAAGTTAAACCAGTGAGCTCACCTAGAGCTTCAGAGGTAAGCTCTCAAAGTCAGAAAAAACCACCACCAAAAAAATTAGAATCAACAATAACCGCATTTTCTTGGCCAACTTGCTATTAAAGAATGACCATTTCTTTCAATGCTGCGACTACACAAGAATATAGAGACAAAAATCTCGGGGGACTTCAGCTGCAGCAACCTCTGTGAGGCTCACTAAGGGCAATCTGCTGAAAAATCTAAGCCAGTGGCTGCCAAACACTCATTTTTCCCCCTAACCTGGGATGAGAAAGGAGGAATATTAAAGCAGAGCAAGGGGAAAAGACCACTTCCGTGCTCAGAGAGGAATAAAGCCACTCAGTACCTCAAATGAGAATCCCCTTTACAATAATGGTGCATAAACCAGCTAATGTGATTTACTTCCCAGTGTAAAAGAGCCTTGCCATAGCCTGAGGTTCCCTGCAGCAATAACAGCAGGGACTATCGGCTTAATCCTCTCATGACTGAGCTCTCTGACAACTGTATGTCACCCCAGCCATGTGCAAGGGCACCAAGACTGGTACAAAAGGGGTTTTACAACTCTGAGTCTTCCTCCAGCTTTTAATATGAAAGTGATTTATTATGCTCAAAAGGAACCTCACATTTGCCTGCAAAAAACTTTATCCACACTTAAACTCAATTATTCTAGTTTGCCTGGAAAGCAGAGTCAGTGCATTTCCTGAGATCCTTTAGCAGGAACATGCTTTTGCTGCAGCAAGAAGGCTTCTAACCTCATTAAGGATTGAGTCAGGACTGTTGTCACCTCTTCTGCATTCCCATCCATCACAGGCACACACTGTTTCAAGGAACTGTGGCCCTGTGTGAATGTTATCAATCCGGTAATGTAAAACCACATTATTTATGTTTTACTGGTGAGTTAAAAATGGAAATCATACTAGGGCTGGGACAGCAAGAATTATTAATCTCCACAAAGGGAAAATTTGCTTCAATTTATTTTGTCATATAATAAATAGAAGAGCTCAGCCAAACACCAACTCACTCTTTGCTGCCATTGTGCATAATGGATCTATCTCCTTATGGTACATCCATCATCAAAGCAACAATCAGCTGGAAAAGATCTCTTAGACCAAGGCCAGTCCTCTGCTAGACATCACATGTTACAGTCCTTTTCCTAAAGGGACAGTGCCCAGGCACTGAAGGTGACAGCACAACAGTCTGGTACACCTATTCTCTCACAACTTATCAGGTAAGTAGCTGAAAATCCATTTCCACCACAGAACACAGGAGAGAATTCAGCCTGAGCACAGGTTAACATCCTCCTGGGAACTACCGAGGCTTTGTTTAGATACCTACTCAGAGATGCTCCAAGGACATCTCTCTTGAGTTCTAATTCTTGTATAATAAAGTATTTCTCACACTGTCCTCTCTCTCAGTGAGCAAAGACTCAACTTCATTACTTTCTACATATGCAAATCTCTTCTTTAGTCACCTCTCTTCCCATTTGCTCAACATCTGCATGTCTACTCCAGCAACTGATTTCTTCCTCCCACTCTCAGCTTCCTGAATCTATGGCCACATTCCTCATGTTGTGTTCCCAATGTTTCATCCTCTGAGGCCCCTGTGATATCATGGCTGTTGAATCACACACTGCAGTTTTTGGGCTCCAGCTGCTTGAGGCAGTGACCGTGCCTTCCTAAAGGATTTGGTTTATAAATCACAGAGAGAGAAGTCTGATAAAGCAAGGAAGCAGGGAATACATGTATTTAAAGCATAGGATGACACAAAAGGAAAATAAATGTCTGGATCAGTGTCTTCTACAGTTCTGCCCACACAACCTTCAAGATGGCTCTATTAGGGGTTACTGAAAGAAAACAAACCATTCCCCTCAAGCTTCTTGCTGCCAATTTTTTGTCTCACATCCCTTCTCCTCCTCCAGTAAACTCTTTCCAAAAGAACTGTCACCTGAAGGGGATTCTTCCCCTTCCTACAAGCAGGTGGTGCTGCTTCCTCTCTCCTTCTCCCACCCCCACCCCTGCACTTCTCTGAATTTAAGTCACCTGTTGTAAAGTTCAAAAAAATAAAACTACCTTGTTTCTGCACATAAAAACACATACCTGAGATGGCTCCTTCAGAATAGCTGCTGCTCTGCACTACCCCAGAGAACCAATGGACCATCTGCACTTTCAAACAGGTGGGAACTGACATATTGAGCCTTTTCAGGGCTACAATACAACTGCATGTTTTACTAGCAGGAGATAAAAGTGACAAATAAACCCAATCTCATGTTCAAGTCCAAACAAAATTCACCACAAAATACCAACCCACTTAATTAGATACACTTAGAAGTCCATTAGAATTCAGTGTACACAGCTGCCAGCAGCTGCAGGTGGCCAGGAACACACTGGAAATGGCTGCTCACTGCAGAGCAATTTACCTCAGGAGAGCTCATCCAAGGATTTTCTGCAAAGGATAGGACTAAGGGTGCCAGAGAAGAGCAGATAATACGACAGACCTGTTTCTCCCTAAAATCAAAGTGTCAATTATTCTATCAGATAACAATAATACCAACTACCCTGATATCTTATCCTATAAACAAGATAATGAAGCTGTCTCTTTTCGTACAAGAGAGGCATCCATGAACCAAAATGCCAAAAGCCATCACAATTTCAGAGAGAAGTTTTCCATTTAAGGACAGACTAGAGCAATACACACTCCTGCATTACTTTTCCTAGAAATTAAGGCATTAGAAGGCTCAAGACTGCCAATTATTTTATTGTGTCCACAAAAGATGAAAAGAATCCACTTGTAAAATCAGTTGGTGATTCATTAGCTTCTCATATTCTAACTGAACTACAAGAAAAAAACCCCTGAATTATTAAAAATCTGACAGAAGAAAGCAAAAGTTCAGTATAGTCTCTATTCCTATTGAAACTCACAGGGAAACATTGATAGGTATCTCACACACCCAGCTTTGCACTTGATCATTCTTTCAAGGCCTGTAAGAACTGTCAATTTCTTATTATAGTGATACACTAGACAGGTTGATGCTGAGGTACCAAAAAGTGCATCACAAATGCTGACCCTTCATTTTGCTGTCAGGACTATGATTACTGTCAGCAGCCTAAACCAAGTTTAAATTGCAAGAGCCCTCCTGAGGCTTTGCAATGTACAGCTGAGAGGTAACAGGTAACCACACATAACTCTTGGGCAGGGAAATAACCCTAAAAATGTGAATTATTCCTTTAGGATGAGTAATTCTGAAACTCACAGCATCGGGACCACGTTCTTCCATTCCAACTCAACCATTTAACAAAGTCACATAACCCCATTTTTAATGGAACTGAGGCACAGGAGGGCCTCAACAACAACACCCACAGAGCAAGACAGCCACAAGATTAAGCATTCACTTGTTACGACCATACCAAGACCACAGGAACAGGGTCTTTGGCACCAAGACCACTTTTAGGAGACCAGTGAACCCCACAGCTTCCACCTGCAGCAACTGCTGCTACTCACACTAGGATTTCATGAATGGAACCCGCTCAGGGCAGTGGGGAGAGACCTAACTTCCCTCAACACCAAGCCTTAGGGCCACCCAGCCAGGAGCCTTGCCCTGTTGGGGCCACACAGATGCCCAGCAGGCCCCCCGGGGCAAGACAACCTCATGAGGGTGGAACGCCCAGAGCACACCACACCACTGCACCTCACAGGGCACACTGGGACCCCCCCAACCCCCTGATAATGTCTCCACGGCCACCAACAGCCAATCCGAAGACGGCGTGAGACGCCCCCTCCCCTAACTAGGCCAATAGGAGGCAGGGGCGCGAGGCATGCGGCCAATCGGCAGGCGTGAGTGCCCCCCCACACCACACCACCCGCTTCCCGCCACCGCCGCGCCCCCCCATCCGCCCCCGCCTGAGGGCAGCGGCGCCATCAGCCCCTCGTGAGAGCGCCCGGCGGCCAGCCGGCCCCAACCACTGAGCGCCAAGGAGGAACACGGGCGGGCGGCCAGGGCAGAGGCTGAGCGGACGGGACGGGACGGGCCAGTGGCGGAGGGCGGGGAAGCTAGGCTGAGCGAGGGGCGAGCGGCCCAGAATTATGGTGGAGAGATAAGACCCCCCCCTCCCCCCCAACAGTGCTGGGGAGACAAAAAGACAAAACATGGCTCCGGCACCCCCCCTGCCGCTCAGGTGCCGGGGTCCGGACCGTACCACGGAGGGAGGGGGGAACAAGCGTGGGGGCACCTCGTTCTCCCCGTGTCCGGGGCGGGTGGGGGATCGCGGCTGGGGTGGGGGGGAAGCGGACTGTACCTCTCCCGCGGGGTGTGGGGGGAAGGGAATAAGTACGCCCTACTTCCTCTTCCCCCCCCGCCCCCCCCACTGGTAGGAGCGAACGGTTTATCCCGGCCCCGCACCGCCAGCTCTGGGCGCCATCTTGGGTGCGACTAAAACAACAAGTCTAAAACCCCCGGCGGGTCCCTGCGGCGTCCCCGGGCCGCGCTGCCCTCCCGGACCGTCCCATCGCGTTACCTGAGGGGGTCCCGTGCGGGCGCCGCGCCCCGGCCGCTGCCGCCGGCCCCGCGGCGGCCCCGAACCCCCCCACCTGTCCTCACCTCACAATGGTAGCTGCAGAGCGGGAGGGGGGTGGCCGCCCGAGCCTCATTACCATAATCTGCCTGGCAACAAGCCGCGGCGTCGCGCGCTGATTGGCTGAAACTCCTCCGCCAGCCACGATGGGGCACAGAATTCCCCAAGGAAAGGCTTGGAGCGCCCAGATCAGGGGGCTGGGGCGCGGGTGGGGGGGAACACACACCCCGATCCGCAGGAGGGGAGCGGGGTTTGGTGGGGGGGGAGGGGGGGATGTCCTCTGCCCAGGTTTTTACTCTCACCTTCGGCTGCTGGCGGCCAATCAGAGCCCCTCTCTCATCCCCACAGTGGTATCTCCGCCAATCAGGGTGCGCTTTTCATGGCGGCGCCCCGCCCCCGCACTGGGAGAGGCGCTGTGGCGCCGCGAGCAGTGCCCCCTGCTGTGGGGGTGGGGGCGGCGCCGCGCGCCCCCTGGTGGCGGGAGGAGGCGGGGCGGCGCCTCCGCCGTCCCGCGCTCGGAATTCTGCGGGACAGGCGGGGCCGGGCCCGACCCCTCTCCCTCCTGGTTGAGGAGGTGACTTCTCGTGGGGTCCCGTCCGCAATGCTCTGCAGCCCCCTCGGCGCTATCTAGCAGCCCGTTGGAGCACAATTACCTAAAATTCTGACAAAACCAGTGGATTCCACAGGAATTGTACTTAAAGCTGAAACGTGAGCTATTAATATCTGTTGAAGGTCAGCCCATGAGGAGATGCCCACTAAAGGGCTGCTTCTGCCTAAAACGTCCCAAAATGGTCTAAATGGTGCTCTTTTTTTTTTTTTTCATGGTACATGTGTCTTGTGTCCTAAATGTCTGCTCAAAGAAGGGTAATAATTACTATTGTTCAAAAATGTAACTAATTGGTCATTCCAGTGCAGTTACTGCCATATTTGTGGTTAGTATTTATCTCTTTGTATTATGGTGGCAAGAAAAAACATCCCTTTCTTGTCTCTCGTTTGCCATTAGCACACGCTCAGGTAGCTCTTTAATCAACTAGATCAGTCGCTATTTCAGCCAGACAATCGCTGTGTTTAGGACCTCTTAGTTTTATTCTAAATGGCTTCATGGACTGCGTGTAAACCACTGTTCACTGCAGTGTGGGCAGCTACGGATCCCTCAATAGGCCATTGTGGTCAACTGACCAAAGCCCAGGAGGACAGATAGGGGAAATTTGGGTTAAATATTAATCACTACTTTTACAGAACTGGTTTTGCTCAGTCTCTGTGCTGGGAGAATGGCGAGAGGGCCAGATCTTGGTGCCATTAAGTGTAACTCTCCATTAGGTCTGTCCTTTTAAAGCCTGGACTAGTCTTTTAAATTAAGAGCTGCTGTTGTAAATTTAAATGATCCCCTGTTGTACTGACCCCCTTCCATGAGCAATCAAAATTTCAAAAACAGCCCACAGAGATACAAATTTTCTGAATTGTGTTTATGAACTTGATATTAAAATATTAGATATGGGTTTTAAACCTCAAGTCAGCAGAATTTGTTTAATTTAAAAGTTATATTTTTTTTTCCCCCCTTAACTATACTTCTTTACATCTTTGGGCATTTCTCTTAATTTAAATTATGGGAGTCATTGAGCCAATTTATTTTTCTGTCCGATAGAACCAGCTTCAATTTCATTATACCATACTGGAACTTCAGGAAAATAAGTACTACAAGGACATACATAAAAGCAATCAAAACTGCTTAATGTCTTATAAATTTTAAAACTTGCATGTGTTGTTACTTTTTTAAAAAAATCAAAGTACATTTTTATTTGCGTTTTCCAAGAGTCTCCTAACATTTTGGAAGACTTGATGGCTCTGCCACAAGAGATGTAGTCCCATGGTGGAATACAGAGCAGTGCCCTTTCCTGAAACGGCTCACATTGAAAGTTGTCTACAGGTTATTTTTTTCGCTTTGTAGTCAAATCAGTGCAAGTTTGCCATGGATGCACTAAAGCTGGCAGATGCTGGTCTGATTCATCCCCTGCAGTATCTGGCATCTGATGTAATGCCTTTTGTAATTCCCACATTTGATGTGTTGTTTCTGATGCTCCAGCACAGGCTTTGTTTCCCCCACAGCCTTGTGCTGGCAGAGAGAGAGGCCTTCATATGAGGTTAATTTATTTATTTCTAATCTGCATAGTTCAAGTGAACTACATGAAATACCCCTCTTCACCTCCAGTCTGGAAGGTGCTGTAACCCTCCTGAAAATCCTCCTTTCCCTGCTCAGCTCCCAGGCCATCAGATCCATGTCTCTGTCCCTGCATCATCTCATTTGGATACTGCTGCTGCAACAATTTCTCTCATCTGACAGAAACCAGTTCTGTCTCTTCCCTCTGGTCACTCCAATGTTAATTTTCCCACTAGTTCCCAGGTGGAAGCAAGTGTACTGACTGGCTTCTCCCACCTTTTTCAGATTCCAG